GCAGGCTAAGGATCTTGATGCATCGAAGAGTATAGTTGGCCAACTTAATCCCTACGGCGTTCTTCTGTTGAACGGAAAGGAAATCCACATCACGAAGAAACTGAAGCGCACGAACAATCCTATTTTCCAGGACAACTCCAAGGAATTCTTGATCACGGACAGAAAGTCGGCTCGCCTGGGACTGATCATCAAGGACGATCGCGATCTCAGAACGGATCCCATCCTTGGTTCCTATCAAATCAAGCTGAATGATATGCTCAAGATGATGGAGAAGGGCCAGAACTGGTTCCATCTTCACGGAGCCAAGACTGGACGCGCCAAGTTGACCTTGCAGTGGAAACCAGTTGCTATCGGTGGCATCTCTGGAAGTGCTGGTTACATTGATCCTATTGGTGTGATGCGCTTCCACTTCAAGAGTGCAACTGATCTTCGGAACTTGGAGAAGATGGGCAAGTCTGATCCATACGTCAGGGTTCTGCTGTCTGGAGTTATGAAGGGCCGTACGGTTACTTTCCGAAATAACCTCAACCCTGAGTGGGATGAGGTGGTATATGTCCCTATTCACAGCGCCCGTGAAAAGCTTACTTTGGAGGTTATGGATGAGGAGTCGATCAACACTGACCGCAGCCTGGGCTCATTTGAGATCAACGCTTCAGACTACGTCCATGAGAATGAGAACGGCGAGTACGAGACCGACGACGAGAAGCAGCTCATCTCAAGTCCTCTTCGCTTGGGCCACCGTGAAAAGGGTGTTCTCAACTACACAGTTGCATTCTATCCGGCTGTTCCTGTGGTTAACCCTGAGGATGAGGAAGAAGAGGAAGCCGAGGAGATGGAAGGTCTCGATGTTCCAGCGGTGAGGAAGAGTATCGACTCTAGGCGCAAAAGCTCCCATTCCAAGAACCCTAGCGTCGATTCCAAGGCATCAAAATCCTCCACCAACGGCCAAAACGGTGCTGCGACAAACGGTGCTACGACTAATGGTGATGAACTCAAGGTACCCAACCGTAGCGGTAGCTTCTCAACCGCCAGGGACTCCGAAGTCATGTCCGTCAGGTCTATCAAGGAAGTGCCTAAGACATACATTGGACCAGAGGATATTTCTAAATATGGTATTTTCCATAGCCCTGTTTCCTTTCGTTTTAGTAATCTACGAGGCAGGCTGCTTACACATTTACAGAATCTGGTTTCTTGGTGTTCAAGTTCCACGAAGCTCAGCTTGCTCGATCGAACGTGCAGTTGGAGGTTCTGATGGACGACCACATGTTCCCGTCATACTCGACACCTAAGATCCGCTCAAAGGCTGCCAAGCTAGTTGATGGTTTGTCCCCTGAGGATAATTCAAGGGAAGAAGAAAAGGCTGACCAGTATTAGTGGGAGATGCTTTCGTGCGTGAACTGGAATTCTCCAAGATCACTCTTCGCCTGGTGGACAAGAACGATGCCAAGGACGACAGCGACGAACACACTGTTGCGAAGCTGACTGGCGATACACTTCCTACGCTGCAGCGTATTTTGGTATATTCACTGCCGATTGAGCCTGCTTTTTGTTGGAGATAGTTAACTGACCGCTCGCAGTACACGCCCACTGAACTTGTTCTCCGGTCGAACGACGGGGAGGTGAACAAGGTGACAGTCAGTGCCAGATATATCCCTGTGAAGATGAAGCTTGACCCATCAGAGAGTATCAACAACATGGGTAACCTCCGTGTGAATGTCCTGGATGCCGCCGAACTTCCCTCTGCAGACCGCAATGGCTTCAGTGACCCTTACTGCAAATTCAAATTGGATGATAAGGAGGTTTTCAAGACCAAGGTGCAGAAGAAGACTCTTCACCCTGCATGGAACGAATTTTTCGAGATTCCCATCAAATCTCGAATTGGCGCCAATTTCCGTGTGGACGTGTACGATTGGGACTTTGGTGACAAGGCCGACTACCTAGGCGGTGCCGACATCAACCTTGAAATGCTGGAGCCCTTCCACAGCCAGGAAGTTACGTTGACACTCGACGGCAAGTCGGGAGCCATCCGGCTGAACCTGCTTTTCAAGTCAAACTATGTCATGCGGTCCCGTCAAGGATCCTCCACATTCTCTGGTACTTTCGCCACACCCGGCAAGATCGTCGGTGCCCCCGTCAAGGGAGTCGGCTTTGTCGGCGGCAATGTCATCAAGGGTGCTTCGTTCTTGAAGCATGGAATCATGTCGCGGTTCAAGGGGGATGATTCGTCGAGCGATGAGATCCCGGAGGAACCAGAAGAAGTCTCGAAGACGGAAACAACCCAGACACCATCGGCCATCTTGGTCGACGGCGCGACTCCACCAAGCTCGACTCCCAACTCGTTACAGCACGCACGAACCCGGAGTGTGGTTTCGCACTTTGGTGACCGACTCGGCATAGGTTCAAGTGCTGGCAAGGGGAGACCGGCACAGCGACGATCACGGTTGTCTCTGCCAGCAACTACCCTCCGTCAACCAACGTCCGAGTCATAATTAAGGCGCTCGGTCCCAAGGGTGCCAAGGAGGTGCTCAAGACCAAGGCCATCAAGGCCAGTGGCGGCGGGCCGGTGCAGTTTGACGCCTCGCACGAGACTTGCCGAGTGCACAACACTACGGCAGACGCGCAGTACCAGGTCCGCGTCGTCGACCACTCGACATTTGGCTCGGACAGCACTCTGGGCGAGGCCCTGTTCTTTGTGGACGACCAGGGCTCCGTGGCTGGACAAGAGAAGCAGGTCAAGGTCGGCAGCGGGGTCGTGTGCATCCGAAGCAGTTTCTCGCAGCCGGAGTCGAGCCTGCGACCCGGAACTGCGCACTCCAACAATGATGCATCGTCGGAGCTGATGGACAGTCCCGACTCAAAGAAGACGGGCAGACGAAGCTTCCTCAGCAAGAGGAGCGTGAGTGGGGCATAGGGTATATAGATTTGAGAGGGAAGGTTGGATATGCTGATGATTCTACTTTTTATTGTTTATATTTTTCTTACTGGGTTTGTGTGATGATATCCCTCGTGGTTAGCGGTAGCGTCTGAATGTATTGACCTGGTCATTTGGAAACGATGTAGTCACGATAACGTGAATAGGCGACTCACTTCGGATGCCAGTCCCGATGGCGGTGTAACTGTGGAAAAGATACCCGACGTGGCTGGACAACTCCCTGGTATTTAGCCTTAAGAACTGAACTATGTAAGCTCGAGCTACTATGTTTGCAGAGTACAGAGTATTCTGATTGTACGGTAGTAGGTATTTCCGTAGGGACCTGCCCCTTTGACGGCCGGGCAAAAGCAGCCTGACAGTAACACCGCCAATCTGAGATCCGCAGAAGAAAAAACAAAGAATGTAAATATGTAACTATAGACTACGGAGTACCTAGAGCACAGAGTTAGAGCACGGTAGAAGAAGAATCTTCCTGTTCTTCCGTGGGGGTTCTAGATCGTGCACCCTTGGATTTTACTTTCTGATAGTGAGACAGGGCTGTGGAGTGTGGGCTGTGAGACAGGGGATAAATGGCCCATGGCCCATAGGCTATTGATTTCCAGCACTTCCAGGATTCTATTATGGCGTTGTGGGTTTGATTTGGGCTGGTGGATGGGACGGAGTACCACTGTACCAGAGACTAATTTCTACTTTTAAACAGATATAGTGAGGTAAATTTAGCAATGATAAATATCTATCTATCTACTCGGTACCAGACTTATGTTAGACCGTAGAGACCGATTGGGATGGTCTGTTCGCCACGGACAGGGTGCCAGCTGCCAAGAGATTAGACAGGGACTGCTACTGACTGAGGGGACAGGAGTGATCCGATCCCCAGCTGGACAATGGAGACTCTCTGGAAGAGATAGGACGAGACAGTGGTACTGCTACCTTCATAGGGAGGCTTGCATCTCAATGTACTCCGTAGTTACCTCTCTATGCAGGTGTCTGCTGTTAACATACTTAGGTACGGAGTATCTACTCCTGGATAAGGTGACGAGGTCTGTGGGGCAAAGATTGTAGTAATGGATTGTGAACCCTGAAAAGGGGGAGCTTAATACCTGCCTGAGTTTCTAGAATACCACAGAGTTCAGCCGGTTTCAATGTCGCTGCAGTTGTCAATTGTCAGTTATCAGTTGTCAGGGGTCACTCTCACATTGGTGATGGTTCGATTGACAAGTCGAGATTCTCGAACAGAGATACGATACCTTAGGCAGAAAATGCTTCTAAGAATAATCGGGAGGCAAAGATAGCGGTGTATCCACAGAGCACAGAAACTGTCGAGAGTACAGTTCCGTACCATACGTTTCTGTACCAACGCCCCTGACGCTCGGACATTGCAGCTTGCTCAACCAATCAAACCACAGTGTTCGTCCATTCCTGTCTCCTGTACTGGGAAACGGACAGAATCCGTACAGTGGCTTACTGTAACCCCACTGGGAGGGGAAAAAGGAACAACATCGTCATCGTCCCGCATAGCTAATAAATAATAGTAGTAATAATAGCACGGTAACAAGAGCTGCGACCAAGTTGGCAACAAGCTTGACCGTTCTTCGACAGGTAGAGGCATTTATATTAGTTAACCAGCATCCCTCTTCTTCTCATCTCTTCTCTCTCTTGTTTCTCTCTCCTCTGTCAATTACCATCTCCCCACCTTCTCTACTGTTACAGTCCCTCAACCGGAAAAAAAAATGTATGTGCTCCCCTGTCTTTCCCAAGGTACCGTCACCAACAGTACCTCTACCCCTCCCCAATCATTACCTTACCTGCTTGTTGTATTGCCAATGACGGCAGCTTGTCGACATCCTGCAGCCCCTCTCTCCTCTCTCTCTCAATCGATCGACACACTCTCTCCCGTGGCAACTTTGTCTGGATTCTGAACAAAACCCCCTCCTGATCCTCTTTCATACCTGTTTTCCCGTTTAAATCAAGCTTCGTGTCCTCTCTCGCTTTGTTTTCCCGCCCTTTTCACCCTCTACTTTCCCACCCAAAGACTGTCGTCACTAATTCGGCCTCCTTGACTACATAGTGAGCGGACTTTGACCACATCGATAAGCTCTGTTCTCTTCGAGTGGATATCTACGTCTTCACTTCTCTACCCCTAGAACTCACCCGCGAAATCATCATTCACAATGGCAGCCAAAGCTTTGCCTACTCACCTCAGAGCTCCCGCCAACGAGGCCTCCGGCGATGGCTCGTTCGGAAAGCACCACGCAAAATCCCAGTCTCACATGGTAAGTTGATCCTCTTGCAGTCGCATTTCCTCTGGTCGCAGGATCGGAACGTGGCTCGAAAAGCATTCCGAGTGCTCTAGAATCGCAATTCAGTTTGTGTTGGAAGGAGGTGCTGGAGAGCTGGGCTTGCCTAGTTTCAGCCACAACCACCTACAGTGCTTAAATACCTCAACCCTGTCTTTCCTTCAATTTGTGACAGTTCATGCATTGTTTATCACAACAAGCTCTCTTTATATCATTGCCCCTTTTTATCAGCTTTGCTACAACCATTATTCCCATCGATCACACTCACTATCGTTTTCGATTTTGATAGCTGCAGCGATACCCATATCAGCATGCCTCTCTTTTTTTCTTCCGCAAACAAACTGACCCAATTCCCTCGTGCTCAGGCCTTCGAGAATGCCTCCACCAGTGTCGCTGCTTCTCAGATGCGTAATGCTCTGAACGCCCTCGCCGAGACCGTTCCCGACCCCGAAGAGAAGAAGCGCTTCGAGGCCGAGATGGACAACTTCTTCGCTCTCTTCCGCAGATTCCTCAACGACAAGGCCAAGGGCAATGTCGTCAACTGGGACCGCATCAACCCTCCTGCGCCCAACCAGGTCGTCGACTACAAGGACCTGGGCGCCGAGGCCTCGGTGGAGTTCCTGAACAAGCTGGCCGTCGTCAAGCTCAACGGTGGTCTCGGTACCTCCATGGGTTGCGTTGGCCCCAAGTCCGTCATTGAAGTCCGTGAGGGCATGTCCTTCTTGGATTTGTCCGTTCGTCAGATTGAACACCTGAACCGCACCTACAACGTCAACGTGCCCTTCGTTCTGATGAACTCGTTCAACACCGATCAGGACACCCAGTCAATCATCAAGAAGTACCAAGGCCACAACGTCGACATCATCACCTTCAACCAGTCCCGCTACCCTCGTATCATCAAGGACTCTCTCCTCCCTGCCCCCAAGAGCTTTGACGCTCCTCTGCAGGACTGGTACCCTCCCGGTCACGGTGACGTTTTCGAGTCGCTTTACAACTCGGGCACTCTGGACAAGCTGCTCGAGCGTGGTGTCGAGTACATCTTCCTCTCCAATGCCGACAACCTCGGTGCCGTTGTGGATCTCCGCATCCTGCAGCACATGGCTGACACCGGTGCCGAGTACATCATGGAGTTGACCGACAAGACCAAGGCCGACGTCAAGGGTGGTACCATCATTGACTACGAGGGCAAGGCCCGCCTGCTCGAAATCGCCCAGGTGCCCAAGGAGCACGTCAACGAGTTCAAGTCCATCAAGAAGTTCAAGTACTTCAACACCAACAACATCTGGATGAACCTCCGCGCCATCAAGCGTGTTGTTGAGGAGAACGAGTTGGAGATGGAGATCATTGCCAACGAGAAGTCCATCCCCGCCGACAAGAAGGGCGAGGCCGACCAGGCCATCTACCAGCTGGAGACCGCCGTCGGTGCGGCCATCCGCCACTTCAAGAACGCTCACGGTGTCAACGTTCCCCGTCGCCGTTTCCTGCCCGTTAAGACTTGCTCCGATCTCTTGCTGGTCAAGTCGGATCTCTACCGTCTCGAGCACGGTCAGCTCGTCATGGACCCCAACCGCTTCGGCGGTGTCCCCGTCATCAAGCTTGGATCGGACTTCAAGAAGGTGTCGGATTTCCAGAAGCGCATCCCCAGTATTCCTCGCATCGTCGAGCTGGACCACCTTACAATTACCGGTGCTGTCAACCTTGGCCGCAATGTCACCCTCAAGGGAACCGTCATCATCGTCGCCACCGAGGGCAGCACGATCGACATTCCCCCTGGCTCGGTGCTGGAGAACTGTGTTGTCCAGGGCAGCTTGAGAATCCTGGAGCACTAAACGAAACGAGTTTCATTGCATCTCTTCTACCCTTGGTCATTTTTTAATTCGCCTCGCATGTCCGGTTGCCGCCATCGTGGTGAGGGGAGTTGCGTCGGGCAGCGTGGGTTAATAGAACTGTGTTAGAGGCGGGTTGACTTCCTCCGGGTATTTTGGGTGGTTCGTCGAGATGTCTGGTTGACTGAAATTGCCAGGAAAGCACATTTGTGCCTACGCATACGCATGGTTCTTGTGGGTGTGTGCAAAACTTATTTGGCAGTGCAGCAATTCGTCGGTGTTCTTCTCTTCTTACTGTTATTTAATTGTGTCGCTTGTGAAGCCACTCCTGGTTGAATGGAGTTTCTGAGCGAGGGTGATTCATTGAGTACTATCTCTTACTGGTGTCGTCCGCTAGCTGGACATCATAATGGCAATCAAAGACTTGCACATTCCGTGGTTAGATGTAGTTTCAATTGTAGGTGCTGTCTGCATAGGCTTTCTTAGTGATTCTACGTCTGCAATGTCTTAGGGGAATATCAGATGGCACAAGACCAATCACTGAGAGGCGTAGGAGATGGATCCCGAATGACTTCAAGTTTGGGGCGATATTGTCCTTCCATGGTCCTCGGGATCGAGTTCCTGGTGCTCGGTCACGTCGTTGTCGGAACGTCATGTGGAGGCGAATGCAGGCAATGGAGGCTGACTTGGAAAGTCTATGTCGACGATGGGCCGCATGGCTCTCGCTCAGTGAGGCGCAGCGAACAAAACACTGCATCCTGTGTCTTCTTAACACTTGTCAACCCATGCCTCGACATGAATGAGCCAACCTCAACACCTCGCCAGATCATCCCAGGCCGTTTACAGACCTCGCCGACCTCGCCGACATCAGACAGTTCCCCCAAGGGAAGCCAAGCGTCGCCGACGAGTCCATGGAAGAAACGTGTATCGACGGCGTGTCTGGCATGCAAGAAGTCAAAGCGAAAGGTAGGCCCCTACGTCTCATTTTTGGTCGTCTAGACCGAACAGCTTCACCCTCTGGACATGGACATGGACATGGACAAGGACATTGCTGACATGCAACGAAGTGCTCCGGTGTACCCCCCTGTGACAACTGCCGCGCCTTCAACCGCGTGTGCATCTTCGACGAATCCCTCGACCAGCGGCGACGCGTCGCCCAGAAACGCACCGCCGAGGAACTCAACTACCACCGGGACATGCTCAACGATCTGTTCCAGGTGATCCGCACCGCGGACGAGCCACACGCGCTCAAGCTGCTGGAGATCATCCGCAAGAACGCAACCGCCGAGGAGATCCGCGCGTTCATCGACGAGACGCTCATCCGGCTGGACGGGGAGGGCGCGGGCCAGGGCGCGGGCTATGGCCAGGCGGTGCAGAAGCTCGAGGACGTGCGGCGGACGATCGACGTCGAGGGGGCGGACCCGTCCTTCCGGCGGAAGGTCATGGATATCCATTATCTGTGTGATGAGGCGCCGTGTAAGGTGCCTGCGAAGCCGTGGACGAGTGTTACCGAGGATGAGGATTTGGTGTCGCATCTGGTCTCGTTGTATTTCACGTGGGATTATCCGTTCCATGCTTTTTTGGACCGCGATGTCTTCGTGGCGCATATGGCGAGGGGGAGGGAGGATTCGGACTTTTGTAGTCCGTTTTTGGTGAATGCGTTGTTGGCGAATGCTTGTGTAAGTATCTCTTCGTTTTGGGATTGCTGTGGTTGCTGATGAGGGTAGCATTTCTCCGAGTTCTCGGAGGCGTATGTCGTGCCGGGCGACTTGGTGACCAAAGGCGCGGACTTCTTGTCTGAAGCGGAGAGGCTGAGAGAGGAAGATTCTCAAAAGCTCAGCCTGGCGTACCTCCAGGGGACGTTGCTGCTGTATGAAAAGTGTGTGCACTTGTCTTGTTGAATGTCCTGCTCTGCTGATGCGATAGATACTCCATCTCTGGGAACGACGACCTCGGATATATCATGCTGCATCAGGCCATCCGGGCCGGTGAGTCGCTTGGTCTCTTTGGTCCGAAATGCTTGAAGTTTGGCCAGACCACGCCGGAGATGGATGTCTCTATCAAGCGGACTGCCTGGGGATTGTTTCAGATCGACACGTAAGTCCGAAGATTGGATCTATGAACCCCGATGAAATCTGACATGAATAGGGTGGTGCATACTGGCTTCCTCAGACCCAGTCTCATAGCCAAAGTCAACGTGGACCGCATCGGTCGAGAGGACGACAGAGCCCGCCTGTGGACGCCGTATCCGTCTCACCGAGCTGCTCGGCCGGCCTACCTCAACCAGTACTTTGACGAGTCGTGCAATCTGTGCGAGATCGCGCGCGACATCTCCCGCGTCTTGTTCGCTGACGACCAGAGCAATGTGTCGGCCGCGTATCGGCGTCAGACAAAGGACGATCTGTACGAGCGGCTGCGTCGCTGGCATAACGCCTTACCGGATGTCTTCGATCCCGGACGACGGCCCCCGCCGCATATCATCCTGCTGCGGCTGCGATACTTTACCCTGGTCATCAATCTGTTCTCGTGCAGCTCTTCCGACGACGACACCTCGAGCTTGGCTTCTGATGCGCCCAAAACCCCCGAGAGTCCGCCGCGACACAGCCCCATCAGCAAATACAACGCTTGGGAGATCACGCAGTCGGCGGCCCGGGGCATCTCCTCGCTGACACGGCTCCACCGGCGCGAGTACGGCATGAGCCGGGCGCATCACTTCGCCATGTACGCGATCAATCTGGCCCTGTTCGCCATGCTAGAGCAGGAGTCCTTTGATATCCTGGACTCGGATTTCCTATCGCTCGCCAGCTCCTTCTCGATCATCGCCAGCCGGTCGTACCTCGGTCGGAGCCTGTTCCATCTGTTCCGACAGTCGGTCCGGGCCAAGTCGCAGGGTCGCCGGATTCGCCAGTCCAGTGCCGTCTCGGACGAACTCAAGGATCTGTTTGATGAGGAGACCCCGATCAAGGAGCAGACGCGCTGGGATGAATATGCCGAGGGGCTACAGAAGCTGAACGAGGATGAGCGATACCATGGGCCTGGGGAAGGAGAGTATGGGCTACAGGATTATCCGGGACTGGGACTCTTCGATATGCTAGATCGCTACGAGAGCCTGAGTTTAGGCAAGGATGAGATTGTCTCTGAGCGACGTAAGCCGAGTGAGTGTTGATATTGACCTGGTTCGTTGATAACATGATACATCACATCACTATACGGATGAGCCAAGGGTGCATCAGGAGAAAACAGAGGAAATCATTTATATTGGGCGACCGAGGACGATCGCAAAAGCAACCAGAGTCACCGACTAATTGGATGCACGTTACCAACGGTACAAAGGGTACAAACCGAGGTCTTTTGTAGGGAGGAACTAAGGAGGGACACGCACGGAGCACGCCCATTGACGTCAACATTATCGAGCCGTGGATGACCCACCAAAACGCACTCGCGGGTCACCAACACTGTGGCGAGATCTTTGTTCTTATGAGTTCATCCATCCTCGAGCTTGTCTCAAGCTGTGTTCCTCAGCTTGGTTGCTCGACATTCTGACACAAGATATATTTTTCTTTTTTCAGTTACTTGAGAGAAACTCACTGCTTACTTCGACAAGCCTTGACAAGACACGACACTATTCGCATGGATCATCCGAAACAAGGAACGTATCTGGTGCAAATGAATCCCTAGCTTAGCGTCAGTCCCTCGATGTATGTGCATCTGCAATGGAAGACTTTTCCGAGATCTATCCCTCTACCGAACTGAACCCTACCGGGAGTAACGGCGTCAGCTTTGAACCCGACCAGCTCGTTCCGAATGGTCTCTCGTCCGCTTTACACTGGCAAGGGCTGCCCTTGAGCCCTGGCACACCTCAATCTGGCTACTATCTGTATCCCAATCAATACGAAAGGCCTCCTTTTCCGCATCAGTCCTCCACCTCGTCGTCGGGAAGAGACGGCACTGGCGTAGGTGCGGGTGCGGGTGTGGCCAAGGTAGCGATCCCGCGAGCTGCGCCGTACAGCATCCATTCGCAGCGTCGCCGGTCGGCGCGAGCCTGCGAGCCTTGCCGACAGCGCAAGATCAAGTGCGACGGCAACAAGCCGGTCTGTCGACAATGCCATGAGCACAATGTCACCTGTTCCTATCTGGATGTGAAGCGGGTGCGGGATCAGAAGCAGTTGGAGATCTTGTCGCAGCGAGTCAAAGAGTATGAGAGTTTACTGCGGGATTTAGAGACGGAGGTGGATGCGAACGCTGCGCGACGGATCAGGAGGACGCTAAAGACCTCCAAGGCCGACAACGATGACGGCGCGCTATCGGACAGTTCCAGCTCGTCGGTCGGGTCGCTCAACGCCATCGACCTGGTCGAAGAGGATCTGAACCGAAGCCACAAGACGCGAGCGACCGGGTACTTTGGGAAAAACTCCGAGGTGTCCTGGATGCAGAAGCTGGAGGACGAAGCCGAGAACCGCAGTCGCATGTTCGACGGGAACTTTGAGTATCTGGGTCTGGACGAGCAACAACAGCTGCAGCAGAAGAACGATGTTCCCATCGCGACGATGAGCTACCACCTTGATGATCTGAACATCCCGCTCATGGACGATGTCGACCCGTATGACTTGCCGCCGAAGGAGCTCGCGGACCGGTTCTTCGCGGCGTACATGGAGTCGGTGCATCCGGGGTTCGAGGTGATCCGGAAGACCATCTTTGCGACCCAGTACCGGCAGTTCTTCAGTCAGCCGTCCAAGCCGCCCAAACGATGGCTGGCGATCTTGAACATGATCTTTGCCTTGGGTTGCCGGTATTGTCTCTTGTTGAACGATACAGTCAGTGTCGGAAGCGGTGAGGACTGGGACGATCTCGTCTACTTTAACCGCGCGCGGAAACTGTGTCTGGGCGAGACGGCGCTGTTTGAACATACCGATCTACAGCAGATCCAGGTGGAGATCCTGGTGGCCCTGTATCTGATAACTTTGGGCCAAATCAACCGTGCCTCCAACTTTGCCAGCATGGCCTTCCGCTCCGCGCTGTCGCTGGGAATCAACCTACGGTTTGAGGACGACCGGACGCATCACGCGTCCAAGGAAGCCCGCAGCCGGCTGTGGTGGTCCATCTACGTGGTCGAGCATCTCCTGACAGCCACGACGGGGCGCGCCTCCTGCGTCAGCGAAGGCCTCAGCGCCGCGCCGCTCCCCATTCCCTTCGAAGAAGAAAACTTCGACAAACCGCACGCCCTGCAGCTCTTCCAGAACCAATCGATGCGGGCCAGTCATCTCAAGCTCACTCTTTTCGAGACAGACGAAGAAGCCCAGTCGAAAGCGCAGTGGCTTGCCAGCTGCGAGCCCAGCCCCTCGCTCTTCTTCCATTGTCTGGTCGACCTCTGCACCATCACCCAGGCCGTCATCAACAAGGTCTACAGCATCCAAGGCCTCCGCGATACAGCGTCCCAACTTGAACAGCGCGTGCGCAAATACTCCGCAAAACTGGACACCTGGCTCGCCGAGCTACCCCCAGTCTACCGCTTCACCTCGCAGCCGCATCCACACGACACCCTGCACCTCCCCGACGACGGCTTCATGCGCGAACGCGTCTGCCTCGCAATCGCCTACTACAGCGCCCGCATCACCATCAGCCGACCCTGCCTCTCACATTCAAACCCCAAGTCCTCCAAAGACCCTTCCTCCAAGGAACCCTCCTCCCCTCCTCCCCTTCCTCCCCCAGACGCACCACCCTCAACCCCAACCCGAAATCAACCACCCGCTCAATGTCCACCACCACCACCACCACCACCAACGAACCCAGCAGCGGCCCAAGCAACAGCAGCGGGCCCAGCAACAACAGCGGCACCGCCAGCGGTGCCACAACCAACAGCACCACCGGCAGCAACCGCCGCACAAACCTCTCCGCCTCCTGCCTCCGCTCCGCCTGCACCCTCATCTCCATCCTCCCCGAAACCCCCGACCCCGCCTGGCTCCTCCGCTTCTCCCCCTGGTGGAGCATCATCCACTACCTAATGCAAGCAACCACCGCTCTGTTACTGGGTTTGTCGTCGTCTGCCCCCCTCCCCTCTACCCCCTCCCCAACGCCGCAACCTTCGGCCCCGCCCCCGACACCGCGGCCGTCATCCGCTGCACCAAGAAATCTCTCCGCTGGTTGCATGCCATGGGGGCAGTCAATGCCGCGAGTCGGAGGGCGTTCATTCTCTGCGATAGTTTTATGAGGAGGATTGCGCCCAGTCTGGGCGTTGAGGTGGGTGATTTGCCCGATGTGGCGGGGTTGCCTGCTTCATCGACGCCGACTGCTGCGAAGTCGACTCCGAGTTTCATGCCGGGTGGGAATGGGAATGGCAACGGTAATGGAAATGGAGGAGAGGCGTCGGATGGCGCGTGGGGTTGATCCTGTTTACATATTGCATACGCTTTCGTTCTGGTTAAGATTGTACTACTCGCGTAAATGTATGAAGTACCCGATGAGATGAAATATATTGAGGGTGATATCAGAGGTATATTACTAGCCACTTAACCTAACTACTAAGAAATTGAATTACATAACTGAAACTGGGGCCCGGGCAAACGTATGAATAGATGCATGCCGTTTAGACAATCCATAGACATGGGGAGAATATCATCACGAAAGAAGACATGGAACAAACAGCGACAGCGACGGTCGTCGGGGAACTGAAGCCAAGGCGAAGACGAGAATAGAATCAATCCACAACAATTGACGAAAAGAAAAATCCAGGCCGATGAAATGATATCGAAACTTGAAACGGGCTGAAACTGAAGGGACAAATTACATTTGCTGAGGCATATGTGGCGACATGTGCGGCGGCATCTGGGGGTGCATCTGTGGATGCAGCTGCGGTGCCATCTGCGCCAGCTGATGAGGCATGAGGTAGGCGCGCTTGCGCGGATCGTTCGCGTCCATCGGGGGCCGCGCTTCTGGGGCGGGTTCAACATCATGGGATCCGACGGCTGGTGCTGTGGGTGTGGATGTTGTTGCTGGTGGCCATGCTGATGCGGGTTCGCGAGAGCATGCGCGTGCGCGTGTAGGTGCGGAGACGCCTGATGCTGAAGATGCTGAGGCTGAGGCTGGGGTGATGGCTGGACGTGGTGCTGAGGCTGCACGGGAATCTGAATTGGAGGTTGAGCCGGGGCCTGCGACTGCGCTTGTGGTTGCGGCTGGGCCTGAGGTTGAACCTGCACCGGAACCTGTCCCTGTGTTTGTCCCTGTCCCTGTCCTTGTCCTTGTCCCTGTTCCTGGGCTTGCGCCTCTGCCTCAGCTTTGGCTTGAGCTTCGGCTTCGGCTCGCTTCCGTGCTTCCACGTCGGCCTTACGAGGACGACCCCGTGGCCGGCCAGTGCCGCCCGGTTTCGTGGTGGATGGCTTGCGTGGTGTTTTGGGTTTGGGGTTGTGCCTGGGGCTGTTTCTGATTTACGGGGACGTCCGCGGCCTCGTTTCACAGGAACGGCAGGGACAGTACCATCGGGGCCGGGAACCGGGGCAGCACCTGGAGCGGTAGCTGCGCCAGGGGCAGCGTGGGGACCTTGACCGGGAACGGCTGTGCCGGCCGGAGCACCACCAGCGGCGGCCGGGGCGGGTGCAGTTGCAGCTTTCTTAGGCTTAGGCTTTGGAGGCTGTGCTCCATCGGGCAAGGGATTCTTCCGTGGACGGCCGCGCTTCCGGGGTGTAGGAGCAGGTTGCTGGGAAGCACCTGGAGCACCAGGAGCACCTGAGCCCGCTGCATTCGCCGGACCGGCTGGACCCTGTTGACTCTGAGTCTGGCCTTGGGTCTGTTGGCTTTGCCCTTGACCCTGGTTCTGGCCTTGCATAGCAGTGGGGTTCTGCAGCTGGTTAGGCACCTGAGCTTGTGGTTGAAACTGGGGCTGAGGCTGGACTTGGGGATAGGGTTGAGGTTGAGCCTGCGCCTGCGTCTGAGTGTGGGCCTGAGTGTGGGCCTGAGTGTGAGCCTGGGGGTGAGCTTGAGTTTGGGCTTGAGTCTGTGCAAGGTGCGGATGCTGAGGTACGAATTGAATCGGCGATGGAGCCTCGGGACGATAGGCGGCCTGTGTTGGTTGTGTTGTTCCGTTGATCTTGCCTGCAGCGACCGCAGGAGACGCAGAAGCGGCTGCGGCTGCGGCTGCGGCCTTGGATTGTCTAGCACGCTTCTTCGTCGGTTTCGTTTCCTCCTTTTTGGGTTCTTGCGCAGCAGGTTTTGCTCCGCTCAAAGCAGCCGGTTGGATTGATGGCGTCGCTTGCTTTTGCTGTGGCTGCTGATGGAACTGATGCGTCTGCTGCGCTTGAGCTTGCTGCGTATGAGCGTAGGGACTCGGCTGCTGAGGCTGTCTCTGATGTTGCTGGGCTTGCTGTTGAGCCTGGCGATGCTGCTGCAATGCTTGCTGCACTGCTTGTTCGTGCGGTTGTTGAGACTGCTGCGTTTGTGCCGCTTCCTGGCGGTTGTGCTGCTGGGCCTGCTGAGGCTGTTGCTGGACAGGCTGTGCCGCCTGGGCTGGCTGTACCTGTGTTTGTTGTGCTTGCTGCGCATGCGCCTGTTGGGCCTGTTGAGCCTGCTGGTACCGCTGATACGGATACTGTTGGAACTGATGCTGCTGCGGTTGCTGCGCCTGATACCGTGACTGCTGAGCTTGCTGTTGCTGTTGGTAAGTCTGCTGAGCTTGCTGCTGCTGATAAGTCTGCTGCGTCTGCTGGTATGGCGATGCCTGCGCCTGTTGCTGATGAAACGGAGACGACTGATGCTGTTGGTACGGAGATGCTTGCGCCTGGGTCTGTTGATACGCGGTCTGCTGTGAGGATTGCGGATACTGTGGTTGCTGCTGCTGTTGCGCTTGCTGGTAATGGTGCTGAGTTTGCTGAGGTTGAGTAGTCGCAAGCATGGGCGATGCGGCAGCAGGCGAAGTCACAGAGGGATGCGTATGGGATGTCTGCCGGTGCTGCAGATGGGGATGCTGTTGCAACCTCTCGTACGACTGCTGCGGAGACGAAATACTCATTGCTTGAGCATGTGGCGACATGGCGGCTTGAGGGTTCATGGCTGGGTGCGGACGAAAGTTCGCCATGGGATTCATGTTCCTCTGCAAACTCTGTATCTGGGAGAGATACGGGTCTTTCAATTGACCGACGGTGTCGGTATGCCTGGACAAAAGATCTGGAGTACCCTGAGGTGCATAATGACCGTAGGTGCCATAGCCACCTCCCGCGGTAAACCCGACCATCGACGCCGACGACGAGGGAGTCATCTTCCTCAGATCGGGCGAATTACTGGCCAGATCTGACTGCTGCTGGCCCCGGAGCAGGGAGCTGTTGGCAGCAATGCCATTGCTGCCATGGGCTGAATGCGCAGCGGCCCCGCTCAGTGAAGGCGATTGCAGATGCTGCTGCTGCTGCTGCTGCTGGGGATGGGCATTTTGCTGTGATTGACGCTGATGATGATACTGATGACCCCCGTATCCCATCATCTTGATCAAATATTCCTGTGGAATCCCTGACGAGGAGTCCGCTGTGTCGAGATGAGCCAAGGACGCTGTCTCTCAACAGGACATGTGACTACCGCGTCTTGAACCAATAATAACAATGTTGACGCGGGTCGGTGATGATGATCACAGGGGAATCAACCACAGACAATTGATCGGAATGGGCTCACAGATAGAATCACAGTAAGTAAAGGTATGTCAAGGAGAAGCAATTGTTTCAATAAAAGCAAAAAGTAGGTGGTGGTTATGTTCTGCCAACTCCTGTCCGGCCTGATTATGGTTGAGTGAATAGTTTGTGGCCTCAGGCCGTAACTACGGCAGGCGGGTTCGACCCAGTGGCGCAGTGGTTAGGCAAGTTGAGAGAAATAATAATACACGAGAAAAGGCTGGCAGGACGAATAACCCGGCACAGCAAGAGCACAAGGGGGTATTGGGGCAAGAAAGAAAGCAGAAAAATAAGAGCAATGAGGAGCAGAAGGGAATTCTGATGAAATCAACGCTGAACAACGGCCAAGACGATGGATGTTTGGGGATCGCGAGATGGACTGTCGGCGTTGTTCTTTTTTTTATTTTTTATTTTCCGTTTTTTGGATTTTGGATTTTTGGGCGGGCTCCGCATCACGTGATTTCGTGTCTACTTGGCCCTTCTCTAATCACCAGTCGTCGTGAAGATGAGTCACCCAGGATTATCTCTATGCCTTTGTCTAAGGGCAAGAGAGAGAGCAATTGCTCTAAGTGTACGCAGTAGAGAGTGTAGGTTGCAGGAAGGCAGACTGTCATGTAAATGATATCAGTTAGTCCGATGATGCTGGCACTACCCCATAGAGATCGAGAACCACCGAGCTAAAATAATAATAAAAAAAGAAAGAGGAGAGGAAAAATTAAATCAATAAAATAATAAAATGTGGAAAATCGATGGAGAATAATAATAATAATCTCGATCACAAAAAAAAATATCAGGCCCATTATTTCCTCCACTTAATATTTTTGTTTCTTCAAGATTAAGTTTATAATAAATTATTATTGATCGAGATTTGTTCATTAAAGATAATTGTTTATTAGCATACTTTCTATCAATCCATATCACCACTACATACCCAGCAAAATAGTCCATATATATATCAAGCAGCCTTCGCAACATCCTTGTCCTCCTCCTTCAGCTTCAGATCTGCCAAACATGGCGCAAAGAAGAGCTTCCCTGATACCACGCCTTTCAACGTCCCAATACTCACCACCATCCATAAAACCACTACACAGAGCGAAATAATCTGCATAGGTCAGAGGCCTCCTCTATTCAATAGACAAATGGGTGACCTACCGTTCCGAGCACCTTGAAAAATTCTGACGGCAGCTCTCGGCCTATTTGACAGGTACTGGCAGCAAAGACCCCGAGCGGGAATGTGAACCCCACCAGCCGATATTAAAAGGAAAGTTGCGACATCTAGCGATAGACGCCGATGCGAAGAATAGCCAGACCAGTCCGAACGACCAGAGAATGAGCGCGACGAGGAACCCCAGCGTGTAGAAGGTTGGGCCGGACGAGGCTTCCAGTGTATGTGTCTGCGCGAAGATGGTTTGGGCGGATTTGCCTAGTTTCATCGCTCTGTTGGCGACATTAGTATTTGAAGTAGCGAAAAGGATGGAAACAAAACTCACCCATAACCGCCCTGACCTAATGGTCCCAGGGGCAGGAAAACACTAACGATGACAGCCTTCGGCGGGAGCTTGTGGAGGGTCAGGCGCTGGAGGTAGATTACCATGACCATCATGGCGAGGGGACGCCAATGCCCCAGAGAACATAGCTGACGAGCACCGTCCATAAGGCGTGTTGAGGGTTGGGGAGGACGTCAGCGACGATGGCGCCCGAGGAGGCTGCAACGATGCAGCTTACGATTGGGAGAAGCCAGACGGCTGTCATGGAGGAGAGTTGCGTTTCGTTTCCATGGGCCATGCTGCGGATTCTAAGTCACATATTCAAATAAGTGTGCAGGACGTGAGGGCATACAGCAAGAAGGGTAACGACAACGCCGTCACCACTGAAAGTATCGCGTCGAAGATCCACAAACCCCAAGCAAAGTTTCTGGTCCATTCACCCCACACCGGCACGCAAACGAAACAAAACATGTTGATAATCGTAGTCAAGCCCATGGGAAAAGTCCCAATAAACATTGACTGCACGGGATGGACGATCATGGCTCCGAAGATCTCCGGATACAGTATATATCGCAAGAAGCTGATGATACATCCTGTGATGAAGAGGAGGACATTGATAGCAAAGATGACGACGGAAATCCAGTACAGCCATTGAGCATTGTAGGGCAGTGTATTCAAAAGAATTGATACAATGCCTGTGCCCATTGTGACCGAGAACCATCTATTCGCAGTTAGTAGTTTTCTTCGCTTGTAATGGGAGCAAGGTGCGTACGAAGGGGTGAAGTTGCGGACGATCCTCCTCCAGCCCACATCATGTTTTGTGAGCTGGGTTTGTGTTTGGGAATTTGTATTTGTGCAGCTCATTATGCCGATGATCTAATCCTGTCGACTCTTGAAGAAGTTGAGGATGATGGATCGAAGTAAGGATGTTCGCCACCGCTGTGAGGGACCGAAACTCAATCCAGCGAAAAATGCTGTATATATGCACCACGACGCAGATTCCAGAGGTTCGAAGGTTAATTCTTGACCTCCTGTTTATTATTTTCTGAGATCAGCTCGATATAGCCCAATATACTCTTCGTCTTCATCGACTCGCTGACTGAGTCATCTTCGGTTAGCCGGTACGCTGAAAGTCAATTCGGCCGACAAATCCATTCTTATGTCAAGCCAGAGCTATTTTTATCACGCAATCAATATTAATCGAATCGATGTCGGGATATTCTTTAGTGAGATCAAAGACAGTGATAGTCGAAATATTCGAGACATTGTGCATAGATTCAGTTGGACCGTCAATGGGCCATATATATATATATATATAGTACGCCTAATAGCCTGAACAAACAAGCTCATTTCATTATTCATGAAGTAAATCAGAAACAACATACAAATCACAAGTAACCATCGTCCACCGTAACATTACTACTTCCTCTGTCCTCCAATGCTTGCCAAAGTATCCTTCGTGCTATTGCCCACACTGTTTGTCGTCTGTCCCAGTCCCTGCCCAGCACCAGACACAGTGTCTCCGAGTCCTTGGGTGGCTCCGCCGACGGTCTCTCCCAGTCCCTTGGTCGCGCCGCCAACAGTTTGTCCAAGGCCACCGACCGTGTAACCGACGGTGTTTGTGAGGCCGCCAACGGTGTTGCCTAGAGTAGTCCCAAGACCACCGAGGAGGCCAGCTGTCAGTCTCAATCAGCCTGGATCTTGGTGCAAGAGGTAGAGGTACGAGAGCATACGGTTCTGTTTCTGGTCGTCAGACATTTTGATGTGGAAGTAGTGGTGCAGTGTTTAAATTCAGATGGAAATCGCTTTGGATTGTTAAGGTAGTAGGTAGTAGTAGTCCTGTCACCTAGACTCTGTCATCCTGAGTCTACCAGCTTGATTTATAGACCAACAGGAACAAGCACAAGCACCATACGTCAGCCCTGACCCAGCAGCCGGGAATGGATATCCAGACAGCAGCGCCGGGGAATAACTGCCAATGAGACCATGGTGCGCTGCTGGCTGACGCAACTCAACTTCCATGGTTGATATCATCGCGCGTGTCATGGAGAGTGGGGTTGGTGGCGATTAAGGTACATCATGCAAGTAATTGAAAGGTAGTATTGTTTATTTGGCCGTATATGGCTGCTACCGTTGTCAATGATCTTACTTTAGTGGATATCAGGATGAGTTTCTCAGATCTCGTCTTAGGACTGATCTAAGTATCGATTGCGATGATGTCATATATCCCAACCGCACAGCCACAGGCCATTTTCATATCAGTGATGATTCCCTGCTTGGAATTCAATACTGTCATATTATCGGTAATGGGTATAGAATTGAAGCAGAGACAGGGGAGTAAAACTAATATGGAAACTTGATTAGCAGATTGATCTGCTCGTGCGCCGTTTAGAAGAAGCGTTTTGTTGGATGATCTGGACAGATAAACACTGACACTGAGACCACCTTGTTATCATGCGCATTGAATTCCTGGAATATCACCACGGTATATCAGTCTCTATGGAAGTGATTGTAGGTATTGCCTTTGCAGTACAACTTTCGACGAGTCCTGAACCAGAGGCTCGCAACGGGTTAAATCCATAGTTTAGCATCACAGTTAACAAGATCTACATGTCTTCTTCAAGTCAAAGACCTGATGAACAACCTGTCTCTGTCTCATAATAATGCATCAACCCTAGGCAATAAATCATTCAGCTCCCTTTCAGGCGACTGACTGGGCAATAGATGATTCCATATTATATGACGCTGTCAACCGACCTGGACTTCCAGTGCATAGTGTATCTTACTTTTCTTAATAGTGCAAAATTTCTTGTTGTCTCTCGGATTACAGAGAAGGATAAGAGTAAAAAGGCATACGGTGTCTTGTCTACTACGTACAAATTTCATATTTCACATAGGATGGGCTTTATACATTCCCAGCAAAACCCAGTCGCACACCTTGCGCCTGGTTTCATGAAGAAGACAACGCATCCCAAGGATATCATGACACATGAAGCCGAAAAAAGAGAAAGTTCGTCAAAAATTGGTACATGATGGCCAACGCGGTCAAGTCTGGGCCTCTTCCTCCGCCTCGCCTGTCTCCTCCGTATCCACTTTGTCTGTAGATTCCTGGGCCACTTCGCCATATTCCTTGATATCCAGTATGTCAGTTTCAAATCCCGAATCGGATTCATCTGAGTGGTATGCAGCGTAGCGGTTCATGTATCTCCAAAGTCCCCCAAGCAAGTCCATTTCATCCTTGTCTCGTATCCATTCCCGGAATTCTTCTTTGGAGACAGGAGGGTCATCGTATGTGAAATCAATGCCATATCCCTGCAGCTCGTCCTGGATATTGTCAAGATCCTCAAACGTACAGCGGGCGTCCCAAAGCTCCTTCTCGGTGCCTCGAAACGTGTACGCGGGGATTTTGGCGTGTACCCTGGGAAGAGACTCTCGTACTTTTGACGCATGTTCTCCGAATTGTACTAACCACTCCTCGTCACGCTTTTCAATACAGTTGTATTTGGCCTTCTCGCGGACGACCTTCCAGAAGTCGAGCACTAATAGCTCTAAATTCGGCGCGAGGAGTTTAGTCGCAGCGGCTTCGGGAGATTCAACTACGATGTTCTGGAATGAGAGTCCGAGAACTCTTAGATTCGTGTAGCTTCTCAAGTCGAAGAAGCCCATCCGGCTGTACCCAAACAGATGGATCAGAATCGACCTCAACGTCTCTTTGTGACGGTTGAGGGCCGCTCCAATGTTGGTGTAGCTCCATCTGTATGACCAGGCATACGAGTGATTGTATGTGTATGTAAAGGCAAAATGCTGGAGACCAGTGAACCAGGTCAGGATCTCCTGCAGCAGTCGAGGGGTCTGGCTGAATCTCTTGAACTTCGCCGTCTTGATAACAGGGAGTGTTCCGTTTTCATTCTTTGCACTGTCAGCTCTATTGACATTGTCGAGATGCGGGCCTCAGCTCACCTGAGCGTCGAGAAAATCCGCAACATTTCCAGGGATATTGTCCCCCAGAGCAGCCATTCTCACGGCCCAGATGTCTCGCCTTCGTATCTTCAATGCTGCCTGTCGAGGGGGTATAATGCAGTCACCAGCTCTAATTTCCTCCACAGTCTTCATCTGTATGGCCTTCAGGAGCAGCAGCCACGTCAACGGTTGGCCGTTGCTCCCAGATACTTCGAACACGCGCAAGCGATGCAGCAAAGACACCAGCTTGCTGATTGTTTTGAATGTCACTTGCTGAAAGGCTCCTTGCCCGAGATAAATATGGAAGGACTGGCACGTGGGTCGCAGTTCAGGATACAAGGTCAGGATCTGCAACAGTGCTTCAGCGGGTTTGCCGACAGGATCGAGATCTGGCGTGCCCAGTTCGATTCGGCGGTACAACACATGTCGAGCGACGAGATTGAATCTTCTGCACGTGAGAGCAATACTGAGGCCTGTTTCATAGTCCATAATCTCGTCGATGTCGTCTTCCCACGGATGGATGGCTTCGAAGAAGATCATTTCGAGTATCTCGACGGGGAAATCCAGGATTTCGACCGCCATTTTGGCGTCGAGGTCGTGCTATCGAGGTTCTGAGCAACGACAGCTGGGGAGAGAGATGAAGGATGGTTAGTTAGTGAGTGAAGTGTCAAACCTGTGAGGTTACATACCCATAGCAACTAGACTGCCTCAGGCTCGGCCACTGCTTGAAATTCACTGTAGCCTTCATTTTGCCGGAGATTTTCGTTAGAATCAGTTCTGTTGACTGAGGTTGCCTTGACAGTCGGTTCATTGTATGGAGACTGCCATCGAATCAAGGCCTTAACATCTCATGGAAGGTGACTAATGGCCTAAATGACCTGAATATAAGAAGGCATCTTGAAAGTATTGTTGACGTGCTTTTCAGCGAGAACAAAAAGGAAGTACAAAGCATACCTACTGTGCGAGAGCTATGTGAGGTCATGGCCCAGAAGGGGACAATCAATACAAAGAAGAAAACTCAAACACACAAACACACACGGACTATAAGCCCAACTCATCGCTTTATAACACCAAGTCAATAAACCATAAAGTGACGGGGATAGAACTCTTGCTCTGTCTCATGCAAATGGAACATGCACTTCCCTCAGTACTCCTGCATAGGCCGATGAGCCGTCACCCCCGCAACATAGTTCAACAGATTAGATAGAAACTCTTTGGGTAGGCCGGCTGCTCCCACCTCAGATAGACATCTTTCATAGTCTCTTGCCAGCATACTGACCAGAAGATGGCGAATAGGCGAACTGGAGCCGGCCTTGTCATACAGATACGCCACGAACTGCGCCGACAGCCTTTGCATCTTTCCAAGGCTGGCAAGGTCAGCCAGTTTACTTCATTTCTCGTTTACTGGTGTTGGTGAGCGAGATTCTGGTGCCATACAGCATTGTTTGCTTATCTGCAAGGCAGCTCAATTTTGACTATTTTGTGGCAATCCTCCAGGGATGCCGGCCAGCAGGAGTTGTTGTGTTGACCATCCTGCACAGCAGTGACGGGGATGTTAGAGACAGATCAAACTCTAGAACTCGGCCTAGACTTATTTACACGCCAGTCTCTCATACCACAGTTCGATTTTGCAGTCCAACTGAAACACAGGCAAAGATGCCTTCAGACGCAAGACATCAACTTGTCTTATATCCCAGACATCAACCCACAATTACCGTCTCTCCCATTCCATCTCCACATCCTTAATTCTCCTCCACGCTTCCTCTACTTCATCTGGAACATCAACATGCACAATGAACCCTTTTCCTTTGGGACCATACCCTTCCTCATCATCTCTAAGTCGTGGAATCTCCCCCATAACCAGGCCCAGGAACCGCGGTAACCTCCACAACCGCCACGCGTCAATCCCAACAGACTCATCATACACCAGCTTCCCTCCTTCAAGCCTAAATTTAGGCACGAAAGTCGGCCAGCTGGTAAACCGCAGGGTTCCCCCACCAGAAAAGGCCTTCTCAAACGACGCCACCGTCCGCCGAGACATGGTCGGATCCTGCACAATTAGCATACTCCGGGGATGAATGCCGTTCTCCTCAAGAACCCTCTTCGTTTCAACTGCATTAGCGCCGCAGTTCGTCGAGCGGTCTTCAATCAGGACACGACATGAGCTCAGGATCCTCGGTGCATCAAAACACCGCGTGAAAACGCGATGAAGGACCTGTGCTTCTGGTAGTCCGTCAATCTCCGGGAGGAGATGCGCGTAGCGTGGATCGTTGGCGATAGCTTCGTAGAGATGAGGCGTGGAATGGCCGATTCCGCCGCAGAGGACCAGAGTTTTGATTGCTGTTGGGTTATTCTCGAAATGCGTGAAGACTTTCTCTGCTATGGGGAGGATGGCGGAGACGCAGAGGACGAGGACATCTGCTGCATCTGACGGAGGGGAAGGTGAGGCGATTTGGTCGAAGGCGAGGAAATGAGCGACAATGTTGATGTCGTTGGGATCCATGGATGGCATTATGAACTTTGGATTCTGTGCTATATATAGATCAAGGTAATCTGAGAGATGTTGGTCTATGGTCAAAACGAGTAGATGATGAATTAGTTTGATCCACTTGTGGACGTGGTTTTGGGGTGATGAGGGATTGAGTCGATTGACTCCACTTGTTTGAATCCCTCCGCCATAGCTAATCTAGTTTACCTGAAGAGTGCTAATGGTATGTTAAATAGATGCTTCATCAGCAGCCTCATTATTAGCGATAGTGACGTACTGCGCAGTTCGACTCACGCTGCGAATGCACCCTGACTACAATTGCGGAAGTGCGGGCCAGAACAACCTAGCTCAGCTCAAGCTTAAGAGTAGAAACTAAGTTATTAGGGACGTGGATGACTTCAACTTTGTTCTCACCTGTTTCTTCCACTCCTCCCGTCCCTTTCTTTCTCTCTTCTTTCCTCTGTTGTATGATAACATGAAAATATCGATATTAATTACACTTGAGAAAGCATATCTGCAAAAATCGGAATTTTGTTGGTCTCAGACAAGGCTCCAATCACGTCATCCGTATTTGACGCGGGGCTGAAGCTTCAATGTAACGGTTGTAACCTGCAGAAAATGTCCTTCAGTCTTCATCTTTTTCTTCCTCTTCGCCATCATCTCCAGTTCATTGAACCCATCAAATCTACCTCATGAATCAAAATGGCAGTTGACCAAGACAAAATCACCAACTACCGGCTCAACGCCGCCACACTCAACACTGCCATCCAGAGTATTGGCATGGGCGCCTATCAATGGCAACTGTTTATCGTCATCGGCTTCGGCTGGGCAAGCGATAACCTCTGGCCGATCGTGACCTCGCTTATCCTGGGCCCTGTTACGTCGGAATTCCACATCTCCAGTCCACCGTTCCTGACTCTAGCCCAGAATATCGGCCTGCTCATTGGCGCCCTGTTCTGGGGCTTTGGCTGCGACATCTTCGGCCGCCGCTGGGCATTCAATCTGACCATCGGTCTGACCGCAGTATTCGGGCTCGTAGCAGCCGGCTCACCCTCATTCGCGGCGGTATGTGTCTTCACCGCGCTATGGTCCATCGGCGTGGGCGGGAACCTCCCCGTAGACTCGGCCATCTTCCTCGAGTTCCTCCCGGGCTCACACCAGTATTTGCTCACTGTGCTGTCCGTGTACTGGGCGCTCGCTCAGCTGCTCGCCAATCTGATCGCCTGGCCAATTCTGGGCAATCTTACCTGCCCCGATGAAGACGCCTGCACCCGCGCCAACAACATGGGCTGGCGGTACTTCCTCATCGCCATGGGCGGGATAGCCATGGTCATGTGTCTCCTCCGCTGGACCTGCTTTACCTTGTATGAATCGCCCAAGTTTCTAATGGGCAAAGGCCGCTACGAGGATGCCGTGGCCGTCGTCCACGAAGTCGCCCGCCGGAATGGCTCCTCTGCCTCCTTGTCCGTGGACGACCTCATCACTGATGAAGCCTCCGCAGAGCAGCCCACCACTGCCGGAACAAACGTTCTTATCCGCCAGCGGCTGGATCACTTAACCCTCAGTCATATCCGGGCCCTCTTCGATACTCCCGGACGCGCTTGGTCCACATCGCTGCTTATCGTCGTCTGGGGCCTTATCGGCCTCGGCTTTCCCCTCTACAACGCCTTCCTGCCCTACATCCAGCAGACCAAGGGCGCCGAATTTGGCGATGGCTCAACGGCTCTGACCTACCGGAACTCGCTCATCATCGCCGCGGCAGGCCTACCTGGTGCCCTGATCGGCGGTGTGCTAGTCGAAATACCCTACCTCGGCCGGCGGGGCGCCATCAGCTCATCCGCCGTGCTGACAGGTGCGTTTCTGCTTGCCTCTACAACAGCCATGTCATCGTCTGCCCTACTGGGTTGGAACTGCGCGTATAGCTTTACCAGTAGTATTCTCTACGCGGTTCTCTATGCGTACACGCCCGAGATGTTCCTGACCAAGGACCGGGGAACGGGGAATGCGTTGACCGCAGCGGCCAACCGGGTGGGCGGGATCCTGGCGCCGGTGATCGCGCTCGTCGCGGATCTAAAGACCAGTGTGCCGGTGTATGTGAGCGGGGGCTGTTTGTTGTAGCTGGGTTGGTGGTTTTGCTGATTGGATACGAGTCGAGGGGGAAGTCGAGTTTATAGTCCTAAAGAGCGTCCTGCACACATCCTACATAGAATTCAGCTAGACTTGAATGATACAGGGTACTTCACTTATCAGTCTAGCGCGAGCAGGCTAACCCAGAATCCTTGAAACGGAACACTCTGTGTGTTGCTGTATTGCAGTAGGCATGGCAGGCGCCCTAGGAAGGATCCCTACAGCTCCGAGAGCCCCGAGTAGACAGCTTAGGAGTGTATAGCTTAGGGTAGAGCTCTTAAGATTCTACGAAGCTCTTATGAAATCCTCGGGCTTAAGGGCTGGAGGTAACTAGTTGATTACCTCCTGTCTGGCGCCGAGGGCAGCTACGTTGACCGGGGGCCGAGGCCATTGCTAGAGGCTATCCAACTTTCTAAATGCTACTCTGAGCCATTTGAGACGACAGTAATGTTACTCAGAGGGAGGCCTATCCAGGCCGGAAGACTTTAGCACAGCTTCCGTGTCAACACCCCAGTGAGACCTAGTATAATATCTACCAGGGAAAAAAAAGGTACTCTAGAACAGATTCCAAGAACATTTCACTCTATCTAAACACACAAAAATCATGGATCTCCATCCCTCCATCCATCTCACATCCTCTCCAGCCTTTTCAAGACATAACGATCTCAAGGTATATCCAACCTAGCACATCTTCCTTTTTCGTCCAAACCAAACCACCAATATCACATCCCCAATTACCTCCCCATAATTTCGGAGGAAGGAGTCTAACCAACCGTTAGCAGCAAATTCAACGAACTGCAACGGGGCCCTGAAATACAGCAGAAGGAGTAGCCGATGACATGGAGGATACAGATGCCACAGGCGTAGACGACGGCAGTACTCGCCGGACGAATCGAGCAGGGTGTCTTGGTGCATGGAGTGAGATTGGGGTGGATGGGGCTGCCAGAATCGAGCTGGGAGATGCTGAGGGTGAGGCTGACGACGCCATCGCAGAGACCGCGGTCAGAAGCCCCAAAGTAGTTGCGATGAGGGTTGTGAAGTGCATTGTGATTTCCTGTCTAAGTTGAGAGATATTGAAGTGAGGTACTGACGGGGATTGAGGGGAGGGATTGCTGCCCAATTTATATGTTGCTGAATGGTAACCCACAGGCAATATTTTGGTGTTGATCGTGATGTAGATGTCTAGCTGTATAAGACAGTGTCGTACTTGGTTCTTCGAGTTAGTTGCAGCCGCGTGGACTGTTGTTGATGATCTGTGTCTTACGGATATATCGATCAACATTTGTGTTTCGTGTTTGCATCAGAAGCGGGTTTCTGGCTGTAGATCGTTTAAACACACTCGGATATAGCTTAACATGATCAACGTTGCTGTGTAGGATTGCGTGCGCTCTAAGCAAGGGTCATGATTGCCCTTGCATGGCGGGAGACCAACAACTTCTGACCGCAGATCGTGGCCAGGATATAGTCACTGTCGATTCATGCCCTTGCCGATATGTATGTACACATTTTCCATGAAGCTCGAACCCATCTTACGGTTTTTTTATGTACAAATGCTATATTACAACTCAACAGTTAAGGCTGCACCTTTGCCAGACAGCTTCGGACAGGCACGTTCTGACCTCTCGAAGGTTCCGGAAATCCCTCCACCTTGACACCCTTCCGGAAGAGCAGACAATACGTCGACCCTCCAAAGTGGAACATACCGAGCTGGTCGCCCTTCTTCAGATGCTGACCCTCCTTGACTGTGATCTCGCAGGTGGAAACCTCGCACATACCGATACCCATGAAGCACATGAGACCAATGGCCGGGTGATCTGCTTCTATAAAGATCAGTGCTCTCGTTGCCGTGGCGCTGTTATACTCCTGGGCGGTGACCTGGCCGGACAGGTCGATCTGATGGGGCGATGGATCCCCGACTCCCTCAAACAACGGCTCGGAATAGTACGTTCCTTGGACGACATATGCTTTCACCACCTTGCCGCTGACAGGCGAATGCCAGCGGTGGTAGCTCAGCGCGCTCAAGAACGCTTGATAGACAGTTCCGCCGACAAACTGCGGCGTGAACTCGTCGTGGTTCAGCATATCGCGGACCGAGTAGGGTTGCTCTTTGATCCAGAACATGTCCCGCTCTTTGACGTTGTGAGCAACCTTGTAGGGCTGCGCCTCGCATGCGTTTGCGATGACGGTGTCATCCTCAGGCGACGCGACGGGTCTCACACCCTCGCGGAAGACACGAGTGAAGAAGTCGTCCCACGATTTGAATCCGTGGTGCTTTGCCGAAGGGTCGCAAACGTACAGATCCTCGAACGAGTAGCTGGTCTCGCCCACGTTACCGACCTCCTCCAGATCGGTCCTTGCCGTGGAGCCGAACCAGCCGCTGGAAGTGTCGTTGAGGACCGAGGCGGACTCGGGAGACTTGAGGTAGTCTCCCCACGCATTGAGAATCTTCTTGACCATCCTGTTGATTTCGGGGTCCAGGTACGCGGCGTAGCCGCTAGGCGTACCCATGCTCCAGTCCAACACTGCATTGATCGGGAGACCAACGAGACCAACGCGATGAGAGAAGTCGTTCCAGCTAGGCGCAGTGGTCAGAAGGTAGTTCAAAACTTGCAGGAGGTGGTGGTAGTCGCGGATCTGTGCGCAGCCTGTCGGGTCGGTACTGTATGGTCGTTTGTGAGGGATCTCGGCAAACATGGCGGAGATGAGTAGGTAGACGCGGGAATTGGATTCGATCAGTTCTTTGAATTCTTGCAGAACAGGGTGCAATTTATGCGACGTGTTCTTGTCGACATGTGTGATGACTCCGCCCAGCCATTCCTGGTGCGCAGCATGGCTCGAGGGCATCCATTTTCCGACGCTGATTTCGTCAGTTCAGCTGCTCGGCCAGTAAAAGAATGCGAATGCTTACCGATGTAGCTTTGGAGTATCGTGATCCTGCTTGCCGCCCATGGTATCTCTAGTAGTGTCTGTCGTGCTGTAGAAATCGAAAATATGGTCTCTTGGGGGATCAAATAATTGTTCTCGGCATGAGAATGTGCACAGGGGGTATGTTGACGAAGCTGGGTTTAGTTTAACTTATAAGGTGACAGGGGGTGATGTCATACCGATAGAGCCAATTGTGGAGAGAAACAAGAATAGCCAAGCTACAACCTAAAGTAGTATGATTCCGTACTATGTATCGAAGTGGAGACTGGAGAATATTGAATAATATTTGATGATGTCAATCTTGAAATAAAGTCTGGAAAAGACGGTGCTTCTGCAGGACGGCCCATCTTGATATACACTATCACTCGTGATCAATCATCACCACACCATGTTGCTAGGGCTGAATTCAACATGACCTTCAATGGTTCAAATGACACAGACTCGAAGGATACATCCTTGATGATCTCGCAATCACTCAATCCAACAGTCTATTGATGTTATTGCAGGCGTTTATATCCAATGTCATCCATACCACGCAAAAAGCTGAGCTATTGCTTGTAGTGTATTCCGCTGTGGATGGCGTACTGAGAGTCTAGCAGAGATCAGCCAGGGACACGAAAGAAAGCCACACCGTGTGCATAGGATGGCTGCTGGAACCCCTACCATATAGCGCTGCGGGCTGGGATTTAATAACGCTAATTTGTCACAGGGGTCGAGCATGATTGCTGATGAGCAGACTCTGGTAGCACCCTATTCGAACCATAAACAAATGTTATCAGTTCCACTCGCAACCATGGCCGAGTGAGCAAATGTCAACCATAAAACCATCTGGCTAAAAAAGGCGCCTAGACGACTATTGCTAGCATAGGACGAATGGTAGTGTAATAATGTGTTCAATAGCACATGGCATCCCAACTGCCATAGCAAATGGACTGCCTTAATTGTTACTAAATGGCTCGACTTAGGATCAGGCATCGACTCAAATGACCACCCCAGGTGGAAAAGTCATCTCTTGGGATATTCGTTTCATCTAAAAGGGAGGCGACCAAGTCAGATGGAACACTCCGCTCTGACTCTTCGAGCAGAAGAGTGCAATGTCACTCGATGCTCTTACGCGCCGGAATGCATCTTTACCAAAAAGTCATGGGCCCCGGAACAGGACGATATGGAAGGGTACAAAGCAATGCATTCCTTGCCTGAAGCACACATAACTTCTTAATGTCTAGATCGGCAATAAGCATCCACGGTGGCTACAGCCTTCTATTCAAATATTACATATTGCACCAAATGGTCGAGATCTAATAATTGATTTGACTCTCTATTCAAGGACGAATAGGTTGCCAGTCCGCCTACTGCGAGACCCTATGTATTGCCGTTGGTAAGGTTTGTCAGTTGAACAGAAAAGTTCATACACGATTTACAATTTCGAAGAGACTTGATACATATAATACAGAGTATATACACCAGAATGTGAAAATTTCTTGCTTCGAGACCTATGATCTATCAGACCTATGATCTATCGTTATGTTCTATGTATGTTGGTTAGTGCTGGTAATCTAGCATGCTGTCTATAGGCAACATCTACCGATTCAACCCCAGCCGTTGTTGCGTATAGCACCTGTCCATCTTTTCTCTCAGCCATGACTACGAGCACCTTCAACACGGCGCATCATTTCATCAAACACTCATCATCTCGTCCAACAATCCTTTAACCCCAACTCTTTCCCTCCCCCACACGAGCGGCCCAGAGTCGAATCAACTCCTTGGTATCCTTGACCCTCTTCGACGAACCTCTCAACAGATTTAACACATTATCGAACCGCTGCTGCAAGGCCCTTTCAACTGTCTATAACTCCAGGATAACCACCAACTCCTTCAATCCGGTTGCCTCCCCCGGACAAGCGGAAGCCATGATCGCGTACTTGGAAATAACCGAAGCAAGATACCGAGTTTCGTCTCGCTCAAAGTCATATTTACAGCTTTGATATCGATCCGATATCGCAGGCAGACGCGAAACTTACACCCTCGCCACAAGCGAGCTGTTGTTGCAAGCGATCGTCACTTTCGTGACTGGTCGATCGCTCGCGTGGGGAATAACCGCGTGGGACCGGTAAATCAAGCCTTACCGGGGGTTTCCGTCTTCTACTACAGGTGTACACTTCTTGTTGAGATCCATGCCTGTGGAGAAGGATCTTCCTGTTCCTGTGATGATGAGTCGGAAGACGGAGGGGTCGGCTGTGAGGTCCTCGACGAGCCGGAGGAGGTAAGGTTGCTCTTCTTTGGTCGGTTGATGATACGCTTGACGTTCACGCCAGAGCGGTAGGCTAACAAACCGCCTGTGTCTTTGGCCACAGTCCAGGATATCTGTTTCTTGGTGGCTGCTCGGGACGACGACGACCACCGTTTGGAAGGAACAAGGCCATGCTTCGAAGCCAGCGCGGTCCCAGCACGACTGGCATTAGTCTTGGACAACAGTCTAGATATCCACACTCCCGTCTCGACGAGCTTCAGCAGGTCAACCCCCGTGTCGATACCCGCCGTTTCGAACATGTACACCAGATCCTCCGTGGCGACGTTCCCTTTGGCCCCTGGCGCATAGGGGCATCCCCCAGACCACCCACGCTGCTGTCGAACACGCGCACGCCGCAGTTGTACGCTTCCCATACATTGGCGACCGCCTGGCCGTAGGTATCGTGGAAGTGGCCCGCCATTTTGTCGAGCGGGATGTGGTGGTCGGCTAGGTAGTGCAGCAGGCTGCGGACTTTGTCGGGGCTGCCGACACCGAGTGTGTCGCCTAGGCTGACTTCATAGCAGCCCATATCTAGCAGTTCCTGAACGCAGTGCAGCACGGCCGATGGCTCGGTAGGTCCATCGAATGGGTCTGAAAAGATACAGGAGACATACCTGTCGAGATCAGCCATGTCACTTTGCAAAGAGAACGGATGGAAGAACTACCTACCCTCGGACAGTAATCCCACACTCAATCGCTTTCCCCGCTACGGCCTTTGCTCGCTCTATTCCCTGCTGCACCGTGCAGTTGATATTGGCTTTACTAAACCCCTCCGTCGCACTGATGAACACCGCAACCTCCTTGGCGCCGTGCTCGATCGCAATATCCAGTCCTTTGACGTTTGGCACAAGGACAGGCAGCCGAAGGCCCGGTTGTCCTTGCAGTTGTCTGATGGACTCATTCCCTAGTACATCGCGACAGTCCGCCAACTGTGGGATCGCCCTTGGCGAGACCACGGACGTCAACTCGATAGTTCGCAGTCCTGTCGCGCGTAGTCGCTGGATTAACTCGAGCTTCACGGATGTTGGAACAGGCTCTTTGATATTCTGCAGGCCGTCGCGGGGCCCGGCCTCGACGACCCGGACTGCTTTGGTTATTGTCATTGTGCCAGTATACTCGTGCGCTGCGCTGAGGAGTGGGACCGATTATTCAAGATGCAGCGTGCAGATCCATATCTACCACAAATATGCTTCTAAATTTCTTTACGAAATCGGTCGGGTTGGGCCCGATTATTTCTATTCCAGGTCAGTCCCCTCCATCAGTTATTTCTAGAGCGTTGTCATCATCGGAGTCGGGCGGCCGGACCGAGGCAAGTCTAAAGTCCGCAAAAGGAAATCGCTGATTTTATGACGTTGATCGTTGCATCCAACTCTCCACCAAAGAAACAACTGGCTTTCCGCACGGTTACTTCCGGGGTCCGCTGGAAAGATAGTGATGATTAATAATAGAGTATATGGAGCATTTTCATGGGGTATCTATTCATGTGGGCACAGTGGGATGCAGATCGGGTGCCGAGTGACGAGGCTCGAGAACATTCTAGGAATGCGTGCAGGATCACAACCTGAGTCAGATGGCAAACCCGTCCATCAACATGTTTCTAAATAAATGTGCAGCCATCAAATAGTTTAAATATAATCTGGCTCTCTTCTGCCCGCAGTGACTTAACTTGTTGCCCAGGACCAGGCCCCCGGCCCCAAGAACATGCTTCTCGTGCTTTCAGCTTTCCACTTCCGGTTTTGGAAATATCATCCCCGATTGCGGCGTTCCATCCAGAATGCTGTGCTCTGAGACACCCAGATTCGTATCCCGTCAGACAGCCTGGCGGAAATATCCGTTGAAGGCTTAATGAACAAGTAGCAGCTTCTCCGTACCTCTTATCATGCAGTCCTACAGAACTGGTTTCGTTGACGGCCCCGTGCGCCACAAGTCGCCCTGCGTTCTCAGCAGGCCAGTCATTTTTATCCCCTGCCATCGTAATCAGTACAATCTCCAAAAGGACAAAAAGGATGTCTCATCCCGAATGATAATAGCCTTAATTACCCCCTTAATATGCCCGTACGCATCTCATCAATGTACGCCTCATCCTCAGTATGCATCCATCTCACCCCCGGCTCCACGGCAGCGGCCATTTCCGCTGAATGTCCAATTTTATGTGGACAACGCTATGGACCTTCGAGAGGTATGGTGCCACGTAAAACGGTAAGGCTGATATAAGTGGCCACCTATTAGCATCTCTCCGTCAAGCAACGATATCCCGCAAAGATAAATAAGCATCGTACTTCGCTAGGCTTAAAGTCTTCCCTAAAGTCTGCATGCATGATGTGCAAGAGATCCATGCAGACAGGATATTTGTAAGATGTCTGATTGGAATGATAAGTTTCATAATAGTAATTGCATACCTAAGCCCTCCACTTCTAGCAATTTCTCTGTTTGATAGTCTTATTGTCTCTCTCATAAGGCACCGATTGCTGTAGGGATAGAAACAGTCGTTTGAAGTGTCGGAATTATCTGTTAATCCCATAATCTCCTCTATCTTGCATCGCTCCTTACGCGGGCCAAGTATAGGGAAATAGAACATGCCCCTTGAGCGGGGTTCGTGCTTGTCATAGTAGCTGCAAGTGAGTGTTCTGCGTCACTTTGGGTTCTTATCACCCATTCCGTAGGCGGTAAACATCTTGTGTAAGCCCATGGATGTTGTACGTGAGTATTCTCGAGAATGAGGAGCCTGAGGCGAGACCGGTGGGGAGGGTGGCTGGTTCCTTATGCCCCTTGGAGAGGACTTCGAGCGGTGGGAGTGAAGTGATATCAGCGGTGATGTCGTTTGAATGAGGTGGAGGGCTGCGCTGACGAAGTGAGCGTTGCCGAGGGGTTCTTGCGGGTTAGCATCGCTGCTTGGGCCAGGCCAGTGGTTCCTTGTCATCTGCAGATGAGGGTGTGATGTACTGAGCTGAATCGCAGGTTGAGCAAGGAGTCAAGACAAACTAGCTTCTCCTGCAATGCTGTCTAAGACTGAGTTCTGCGACCCAGCATATACACCTTCTTTCAATGGACTTATGACGAAAGCTTACATTGCCAGCTCCTCCAAGCGCGTCCTGTGGTCATTCAGTGGAGGAGGTGACAGTTGTGCACCACCATCGTCAAAGTTGAATCCGGTCTATTGAATGAAAAGATTTTATCTGTACAAAGAATGAGATGAGTGTTCAGAGTATTGCAAAGATAATGATGACAGTGAGTGAGGGAGACAGGACGAGGGAGAAACAATGAGTGGGAGTAGGAGGATCTAACCACCATCCAGCAGGTCCATATTACAAAAATCTAAATAACTAAATACTTCATAGCAGCGCCATAGCAACACAAAGGACAAAGGGGAGAGAATCTCCAAACAGCAAAATAGAAAGGGTAAGACCCTCCTCTAGATACCTCTTTCAGGTACCACTCAAGGGTCTTTCCATCCACCCAGCTGGTACTGTGCAGTGTTATCCCTGAAAAGGACATTCTACACAGTACCTGCTATATTTAAGCCAGCGCAGCTAGTAACTGCAGGAGTCCTATAAGAGGCAAGTGTTAACCCCTGCACCACCAGCGCTGGTTCTGTGTTGGAGAGGAAGTGACGGAGGGACATATGCTGTCTGGTGCTTTGCCTAATCAGGGGTGGTAGCTGGCCGCCTTGCATCTCAGGCAAGGACTTAACAGCCTGAGGCATCGTTGAGTCACTGCTGGTTCTTGTTAACATGCTCGCTAGAGTTCCCTTGTTGATTTTGCAAAGATATGTGGGTTTTTTTTTTTTTTTTTTTTTTTTTTTTTTTTTTTGATTTGGATGGATAAGGATATATATATATAATGACTCAGGCGGGTCTAGAAGAACGTACACTGCGTCGGCTGGAGTAACGCATGCAAGCAGCACATGTTTGTTTATCGCAGGCGATCATGACTTTCATTTTATTACAGACACTGCTGCCCACTCTGCAGTCTCTGATTGTCTGCCCAAATCGATTAGAATAGCTTCAACTTCCTGCATTGGCAGAACTTAGGGCTGACCTCGAGTGAGCTAACCCGAAGTGGAAAACCTTGGGATGAGCCTTTGTGCCTGACAGTCGTCGACAGCCATCCCAAATGAACAGTTCAACATCAACATCAACACTCCAACTTCGTCCATGATTCATCACCATCACTTAACTTACAGAATCGATCAGTTTGACTTACGTGACTCGCTTATTGGTCGACGGCAAGTGGCTTGGGAGATTACTATCTAAACCGTTCGCTGACTTTGCTGACTCTAGCCAACAGCATGCCGACATGGCCATTCACAAGTCATCCTACATCCTTTGTCCGCCTCGGCTACACCCTCCTCTTCCCCCGGAACAGAGCCAGGCAAGCCTAGCGAATTAGGAATTTCCATTAATATCAAGAACCAGGGTCGTGAATCATATTAGCGAACTCCGCATTTTATCGGATTTCTCCACATCCGTCATTTCCCCAGTTTCTCCCAGTTGGCGAATAAAATCCTATTCCATTTGGACGAATCTCACGTCCTTGGCGCCTGCACCTTTCCTTTCCGATGTACCCGAATGACGCCTCTCTGCATGGCCAGGCACAGTTAGATTTGCTGTTCCTTGATTAGCAGCTTACCCCGGGCTTGCAAAAAACCGCTATAAATGAGGTAGCTGCCTGGTTCCCCTTGTCATCTTCCTCCCAGGGTACGAGATTTTGATCCCTAGCCAACATGCAGGTGAAGTCTTTGGCGGTCCGACTGCTCTTTTGCTCGCTGGTATCTGCGGCGCCTTCGCAGCCCAATAATGCGTGCAAAGCTCCAGGTGGCCCCCCTGAGATCAATTCTCTGAGTACTTTGCAGGCGTTGAAGTACAATAACTTGGGCTCCGAGAACAATGGTACGGCTGCGGTTCTGATCTATGATCGAGTGGACTACAGTCAGGCTCAGGTGCAGTGTGCTGCCATAGGGGAAAGCCTTTATTCACTGCAGGATGCGACCGAAACAAACCGGACCGAACTTCAGTATCAGTTCAATTATCTCATTCATAATCGCGATCTCCAGAGGAGCGACCAGGTATGGGTTGCAAAATCATCCTCAAAGGACTGCTCCGCGTATTCTCTCAGCCGCAAGGAGACCGTGAGCATACCCTGCCATATGCAGCTGCCCGCACTTTGTACGTCCAAGGTTCCTCCCACTACAGACACGAACAAGGCTGTTGTCGAGTCATCCAAGATCTCGGTAATGCATGAAGGTTACACTTTCACTGGATATCGCGACGCACGTTCATTCCGGTTTCTGGGTGTTCCTTTTGCCAACCCCCCTGTTAAGGACCTGAGATTCGCACCGCCTCAGCCGTACAGCGGTCCCAAGACGCTTGATGCTACCAAATTCTCCGACTCTTGCGTCCAGTCAGTCTCCGGCTTTGGTACCCTGGGCAACGGTGGCGTCTCCGAGGACTGTTTGTATCTCAACATCTACACCCCTGTGCTTCCTGCGCATGGGGCCCGCAACTCTCTGCGCAAACCAGTGGCCGTCTACTTCTACGGAGGTGCGTTTACCAAAGGTAGTGCGTCCATGATCGACTACGACGGGGGCAACTTTGCAAGCCGCAACGACGTGGTTGTGGTGACGGTCAACTACCGCCTTGGCGCCCTGGGCTGGTTGGCAACTGGCAGTCTCACGACAGGAAGCTATGGCATCCGCGACCAAATCCTCGCCCTTGAATGGATCAACGAGTACATTGAAGCGTTCGGTGGTGACAAGTCACGAATTACAATCTTCGGCCAGTCAGCAGGCGGCCAGAGTGTGACGGCCTTGCTGTCATCCAGCGCAGCCAAAGGTTTATTCTCCGGTGCGATCGTTCAGTCGGCTCCGCTGGATCTGCCATGGTTTACCCGCGAGGTATATGAAGAAGTTGTCACACCGGGTGTTGCCAAGGCTGTCGGCTGCAACCAAACCGTCTCCGAAGAGAAGCTGCTGGCCTGTCTGCGCTCGGTGCCCGCATCGGCCTTCCTCGACAATACGACCGAGTTCCAGTCCGCCATGACGGCCGTGAACAAGAAAGTCGCCGACAGTTTCCTGCACGTCTCGACAATGCTCGCCTCCATTGAGCCCCTGATGCCCATGGTCGACGACTCGGGCAGCGGCGTGATCGACGACCAGTTCTACACCCTGCTCGCCGACAACACTCTTCCCAACCGAGTCCCGACCCTGTTCACGACCGTCACCGACGAAGCCGCCCTCTACGTCGGCAGATTCGTCCCACAAATCGAAGCATCCACCACAAACCTCCACCTCCTCTTCGGCGTCGCATACCCCGCGGACCTAGCCAAGTCCCTCGCTGCCTCCAACGCCTTCCCGCTCGACCCCTCCGACCCAGACACCGTCCGCAACGTCGGCGCCCAAGCCCTAACCTACAGCGAATGGACTTGCCCACAAGCCCACCTCCTCGCCAACGGCGGCGCCACCGCCTTTCCCGCCCTCTACGAACTCGAAATCACCCGCGGCCACATCCAAACCAACGCCGGCGTCCCCGCCGTCTGCTCCCCAAATACCGACTACAACGCCACCTGCCACGCCGCCGACGTCCTCCCCGTCTGGGGCACCCTCAACAGCAAGTCCCGCAACGTAGACCCCTACTACGACACCACCGACCTCCTCCACTCGCAGCTCCTCGACGACGTCTTCGGCGCCTTTTTTCGAACTCGCAGCCCCAACCCTGACCCGGAGATGCTCCGTGTCCGCGGCCCCGCCTACGCCGCGACGTACGAGATCTTCGGAAAGAATGGGTACTATATCCCTCCGTATCATCCCCAGCAGCGCAATGTCAGTCTGCTCGATATGCCGCCTGCCTGGACGCAGAACCCGCATGGCACGGACAAGTGTAAGGTGTTTGAGGAGTATGGGTTTACTTTCCAGCGGGCGTCCCTTGCCTGAGGTTGAGAGATAGTGTACATACGCAACTTGAGTTGACTGGTGTAATAGACAGCTCCAGTCTACGAATATATCTACGCAAAATGAAACTAGTGGTAATGAATCCAGAGCAGTATATTGATCAGTACCTCTAATCATACTATTACCGAGTTAAACCTCTATCGTTACTCATAAGGGCGTCTAATCTTCTCCACACCGGTAGTACAAGCTAAAGCAAGGAAATGAGAGCCACGAGATCGAACTGATTTCGTAGGATATGCGTATGCACATGCAGATAAAAAATGATAACATCCAGACGCCGTTCTCCGTCATGATAGCAACCGTAAGTGACAGATAAAACGAAAATAAAAGAGAAGACATGGCATCATTACTCATTACTTCATGACTAGCTACACGCCCAGTGCGACTATCGCTCGTACATGGCCGATCTCCGCCCCGACGGGGACGGGTAGTCCACGTCTACCATGGGAACGGGCACGCATCGCTTGCTGCCCTGCGGCGGACTAGCCCAGCCCGGGACACGGGATGATCGTCCCGAATAGGAGCGGGTGCGCTCGAGTCCAGCGGCATGGGCGCTTGACGAGCCGTTTGAAGTAGGGTCGCGGTAGCTGTGTCGGCGAGCGTCGTCCATGACGTAGGAGTCCATGGGGCGGGTGTGGTGGGGATGCGGATGCTGGACATAGTTCTCGCTGATCCCGTTCATGTAGCGGGGGTGGACGTGGGTGTAGAGGGGGACCTCCTGCGGGGTGTGACGGCGGGTTGCTCGTGGAAGATGTGTTCGCGGAATCGGACGCCCGCGGATCGGCTGGGGGTGGTTCCTCGTTGTACGCTCTTGACAGGCGGGTTTTCCGCGCACCGTCGGAGTCATACAGCCGGCCCATGTGTGCGGTGTGGGTATCGCGGTGGGTATGTTTTCGTGCGGAGTCTGGGGCTACGTCGTCTTCGGGTACGCGGGCGTATGCTTCGTGCGAATGGCGTCGAGTGTGGGAGGAGCGCGGTGGTGATAGGTTCCGCGAACGGCTGTGTCGTCCTGATCTCGGTGGTTGTCCGTGGGTTGGGGATCCTGAGTCTTCGGACGAGGCGTCTGAGGTGTCTTGACCACGGTGGGGTTCTGTGCTTGTTGGGTAGACGAAGGAGTGCGGTCGTTCGCGGGCCCTCGATTTTGTGGCTGGTCTGGGTCGAAAGACCGGCGATGGCGCTCGGGGAGATGCGAATTCAGGCCTCTCCTCTGCACGGGGAAAATAGGTTGATTTGACCCTTCGAGTTGCGGATGTGGGAAGCTCGCCACTACGCTGTCTGTTATGCCGACTCCCCCGAGGCGGATCCTCTGGCTCCGTGTGCCGTCGGTGCTGCGGCGATGGAGGCCGGTGACTCGAAGTGTGGACCTCTTGTTCAGGCGGTGCATCCTTGTGGCCGAATTGCCAGTGATATGTGCGGAAATTGGGCGGAGAGGGTCGCAAGACATTCTTCCGCCAGTAGTCGAATTCAAAGCGTCGGCTCACTCCCTCATGCCACTCCACCATCTCCGGGTCTGGTTCCGACGGGAAAGCGTCTCGAGGGATCGTCTTTGGAAAAGTTCCTCCGTTGGGACTCTCAATGTCCCACAGCGCAACGGCATTCTGCAAATAGCGCGCATGTTCGTCAGGGTCCAGGAGCAGCTGGATGGTCTGCCATCTCACAAAGCCGTTGGGTTGCAATGCTGGGATGGACGGCGGCTTAAAGGGATCATTCGTAGGCTGGATACTGTGGAAACACCCCAGACGCTGATAGATGAATGACAGGGCTGAGGACTTTGTCTCTAGGAAGAGTATGTCATAGTTTCCGCCGACTTTGCGATAGAAGGCGGCCATTCGATCCGGGGTGAGGTCGGGGTAGCGTATTCATCGAAAGTGGTCTAGAAGACATTAGCCACCTGCATGATATGAACGAGGCAGTATCACCAGACTGACCATCAACTGTGCAATCCCCAGACATAGCTGTTCAAGTAACGGGGCAGGACTCTTGTCGGGGTTGATCAACACTCCCCAGGAATTGGCGCCCGCGTCTGCATCTTGTGCGGAGGACATGACCGGGCGGAGTTGATGGCCACGGCGAGAAAGTGACGTGCATCTGATCGCAGCGACAGGTTTTGTTCCTCAACGATCCAGATTCAGATGGAAGGGGGTATATGAGATGGAGCAGAGCTCGAGAGAACAAAGACAGAGTGACCGCAGTAGGTGCGTCGATAGAGAGATAGGCAACAGGAGCGGTCAGGCACCTCTGCTCCGCTCCACTGCGGGGTGGCCCAAGGCCCCAAAGCGATTTCGTTTGCTGGCAAGAAGCCAACTCAATCCGCCTCATCTGCAATTAGACGCGGAGGAGTCATCGATGATTGACCGACGAAGACGATGGAAGATGGAACGCTGCAACGGCGCAGAATCATCGATGCACGATGCTGTTTTGGTCTTTTTCCGCGCCTTAAGTCAGATTGTGGCCTGAACGCCTAAAGCCTGACAGCCCCGCATGTGACATGACATGACATGACACTCATGGGGCCATGAGTCTGTCCATGACTGCATGAACTGAACACTCACAGGAGTCGGTCAGTTGGATTATTGATTATCGAATCTTGAAGACTATCCATTGACCACTGATGGACCATGGTCTGGCTCTGGCCGTTCCAGTTAACAGTTGACAAAGGCAGTGCCAAGGGCGGTCAGAAAATTAGGGCTGAATGATAAAGCAGTTTTCCAACACGGCTTATTCACTCCTTATTCTGCAGGTACTCGATACTGACTGGAGTCTTGGTGGTGGTCTGCATATCTGCAAGTACTTCCACCATCTGCAGTTTCCTTCCAGATGCGTGTTTTTCAGTTTTCGAACTACCCTCCGTACCGACCTTCTCTCCCTGAGAGTTGTTCAGATACAAGAGGGACCACGCTGCTTCCCACCCTGCTAGAATTTGAAGCCAATCAGCTAATAGACACCTATTTATTTGTCATGCTACCGAATGGTTTCCATGAGTACACTCATCTGACCATCCTCATGCATCTTCATGCATCCTCAGTCTTTTCGAGAATCAGCCAAGATTGCAAGCTCCCTAGCACCGAACTATGTGGCTTTGACGAGGTGCATCTTTGACCTAGCTCGACATTCTGCGCCGTTCGCCCATATATCTTCAGAGATCACGAGCGCTAGACTTTCTAGCTGAAGACTTGTGCCTTTACAGCTTTCCTATGCTTATTTAATCCGTCCTCTCGAGGAATTGCTTTTGCAGCCAGCTTAAACACCTGTACGACATGGAAAAGTTAAAAAATATGCAGCAGAAAGACAAGCAAGTCAAGTCGCAGGTTGAGACTGTCTGATAACTCAAATTATCTATTATTAGATGACATGCGAATTTACCTTCCCGTGATTCTTCGTGGATGCTCAAGTAGGTGGATTTGTCAAGGAAGAGGGACCATTAAAACGCAGACAGAGGATTCTATATCATTGGTGGGAGGGTATAGAACAGGGGTGAGATTGGCTCTGATTGGCCGGAAGCTGAGTAGTTTATCCCCTTATAACGCGGATTAAGACCATTCCTCAGCCATCTTCTGCCTCTCGTGCCATTCCAACAGCCCAACTGGAATGCCAGATCAGGCACTGTGAATGGATACATACTTTGCAATGCTAGGTCAAACTTGAATGGCATATTTTGATTTTCATGGCGGGATTCCTTGCAACTGCCTTGTTTTGTGTTTTGATTTTCCTCTTATTGTCCCCGTCCATCCTGCATCAACCTTTTGTTGCCTTCTTCGTCGGTTTGGTCTATGTCCTAACATCACCCTACACGCTTTAATATTCCATCCCTACCACTGCGCTAGAGTCTTTCGGCTCCAGTCGACGGGGAACCGGTTCACCCTCACCCCGTCGCGACTTGTCACAGCTTCGCCAGCCGAAGGATTTCGTCCCATACACCACGCTTGGCAAGATTGTCGAATATCAATGTCCGACTCGCGCTAAGCATCTCGGATAATGACGCTTGTGAGGGATCCGTTGTTCTGGAAGCGCTTTTCACGCGCGGTCCATCTGGATGAAGAGGCAAAAGCTGCAGCTCAAAACAAGAGCCCGGTCCACACGTACGTACTTTTGCATCATGTCTATTGGTTTGCATTGAAGGGTCGCATCACTAACGAACCAAAGGGACAACTGGATCCAAGCACAGTACCGAAAGAAACGACGGTCGATAGTATGTGGCTTTGTCATCTTTTTGGCAGTTACGAGTCTCGTGGCCGGTATTATTGTGGTCCTTCTGTGGCTCCATGCCCACCACTGGTTACAAGACAGTCACGATAGGGGATCGACAGGATGAGGAGACACAGATCAATGCGCAGTCTCGAGCCTGAAGTCTGATCGTCCCCGGTGACCAAGTCAGCAATCGCAATCATAACGAAATGATCGCATCAACTCCACCGGACCGCAACTTGACGCATATCGCCCTGAGCGAAGAGTCCAGTACATGCCAAGGTGGAAAGGGGCGAATAGTCCCATTGCAATCTCGAATCTGACTGAATGAGCTGGTCTCATGTCCCATGCTTTGTATGGGGCCAAGTTGCTCTATGAAGCGCGAATACCCAAGCATATAGACATTATGTCAACACAGGTATTCCGGAGTTTGAATATTTGAACCTCCAATATGTGAACAAACCATGTTTGTCATAGAAATGAGCTTGTATCTAAGTATCAATGAAAATAAACATCACAGCTTCTGTCTTACCCATTTCATTGCCCGCAAAGGCGGATAAAGCGCGTATTTATGCTTCTAGGAAAGGCGAGAAGTCTCAGCCAGCAGTTCAGGTGACTCAAGTGACTCAACCTCGTTTCTCGGGAAGTCCAGGGAGTCTGCTGTATGCTTAGGACTAACCTTATCTACACTCCTACTTTCCGCGACTTCTACAGAGTATCAACACTGATAAGCGAGAGATAGCCTATAGACACGTCGCGGTCTTTTGTCCGCTGGTCGACCCATTCCGCATGGACTTTCCTGATTGGGCCAGACACTCGGTTGTCGGCACTTGTTAAAGTCACGTGCCTTACGATTCTACAGCGCCATCGTTCAACAAATGGCCAAATTAACAGGAAACAAATCATATTTGCTGTCAAAGTACTATGAAAACCTCCACATTTGTGTCAGCAAGTTCATCATCGTGGTACGGAGTCGTTCTGCGTTCTGCTTGTTGATATCCTGGAGTCCTGGAGTCCTGGACCGTGGACCCGAGCTTGGACAACGCGCTTATCAGCGGACCTTATCGCTCTTCTCCGCATTAGTGTCTAAGCTTTCCCCGCAATAAATAGCAACGGCCAGCCCCTGCGCCATTTCTCTATATTCGTATTCTCCTTCTTGCGCTTTGAGGCACTGTTTCTTCATCAGCCTCGGTGCGAGTTGTGATCTTCATTATGTTACCACCATTTGACTACTTCACCTACCGTCGGGTCCGGTAAGTTCATGCAAACATCACCAATACTGCACAGGCTAACGAATCAACAGGGACCAGAAGCAAAAGGAACGGACCGCCCGTTTCGCTTCCCTCTCCCCAGACTACCACACTGCGTTCACGGCGACAGATAAGAGTATTATCAACCAGCCAATTGAACAGCTCGTTGAGTTAGTCCACGAGTCCCGCCTTTCGCCAATAGATGTTCTCCGCACGTACGGCAAGGTGGCAGTGAAGGCGCACGAGCGCACAAACTGCGTGACTGAGCTGCTGCTGCCCGAAGCGGAGGCATGGCTTCAGAAAGAAGTCAATCTCAAAGGTCCGCTGGCCGGGATACCGGTCTCCCTGAAGGATTCAGTGCAGGTCAAGGGTTTTGACACTTCTGTTGGGTATGCGCGCATGGCTGGGAAGCCTTGTGCCGAGGATGGGCCCATGGTGAAGTTGTTGAAGGATGCTGGTATGGCTGCAAACTTTTTACTCCGTTGCATATCCTGACTTGTATAGGTGCTGTCCCGTATGCCAAGACTGCACTGCCGGTGACGCTTCTATCGTTCGAGTCTTTCAATGGTCTCTGGGGTCGGTGTTTGAACCCACATGTGCCTGAGTACTCACCAGGTGGTTCGACTGGAGGCGAGGGTGCTCTGCTTGCCCTTGGGGGTCGTATCGGTATTGGGTCTGATGTTGCGGGATCGGTGCGCGTTCCTGCAGCCTGGAGCGGTATCTACTCCTTGCGGTGCAGTACCGGCCGCTGGCCCAAGGCAGGTGTCAGCACCAGCATGGCGGGCCAGGAAGGAGTGGCCAGTGTCTTTAGCCCAATGGCTCGGACATTGAACGATCTCACTTACTTTACGCGAGCGATCATCTCCATGCAGCCGTGGAAGTATGACAACACCGTCCATCCCATCGCTTGGCGGTACGCAGAGGAGAAGGAAGCGCAGACAAAACAACTGCGCATCGGACTGATGTCTTCAGATGGTATTGTTGTCATCATGTAAACCTAAACAGAGCTAATTTTCCCAGGAGTCGTCCCTCCCACGCCCGCCATCAACCGCGCCATCGCCACCACCGTCGCTGCACTCACAGCAGCCGGTCACACAGTCTCCGAGATCACACCCCCGGCATCCGCCGACCCCTTCGCCGGTCTAACGCTTGCCTCTCAACTGCTCAACGCCGACGGCTGCACCACCTTCAACTCTCACCGCTACAGCTTCGAACCTTCCGACCCCGGCGCTAAACAGCTGACCCGCATCGCTAGACTGCCCCGTCCCCTCCGCTACCTCTACTACCTCTACGTCCGCTATATCAAGCGCGATACCAAATGGGCCGCGCTAATCCGCAGCTTTGAACACAAATCCGCAGCCGAGCAGTGGAAGCTCGTCGCGCGCCGTGAGGCCTTTCGCGCCACGTGGCACGCCTGGTGGGACGCCGAGCCCCAGCAATACGATTTCATTTTGTGTCCGGTCAATGCTACACCGGCTCTCCCGCACAAGGCTATGCGCGACGCCGTCTCCTCTTGTGGGTATACCTTCCTGTGGAACCTGCTCGATTACTCCGCGGGTGTATTGCCGGTTTCGCACGTCGACCCGAAGAAGGATGCGCTCGGCGCCCCGTACAAAACTGTTCTGAAGCAACTTGGCGCCAATCATGCCATTGCCCGAGGAGCATGGAAACATTATGACGCGGCCAAGATGGCGGGTCTCCCGACTGCGGTGCAGGTTGTTGGAAGACGGTGGCAGGAAGAAAAGGTTTTGGGATATATGGCTGCTGTGGAGCTGGCGTTGGAAGGGTACTATGATGAGGAGACTGGAGAGGGCGGCAAGTACCAGCTGCTTGAGATTGATTGATGCGACGTTCTGGTGTGGCTAGCATATTCCAACTTCTAATTCAATATAGGCATTCGTATTAATTCTTACTGGGGGTATCCTTCCTGTGCTTATCCTACATGAACTGAATCGTGAACAAGATAATCAATGGACTCTGGGAGACACCACTTGTGATAAACCATCTATTTTGCATATATTTTTGACAAATGCTACTTCTAAGAAATGATGGATGTAAATCAGGTTCAGGACTCCAGCAGTTACGTCTTTTGTCATCATTATGGCAACTGAAGAAGACTGATATGATATACTAAGAGCGCATTCTCGATCTGACGAGTCCATTACAGACATCGTCGAGATCATAGTTATTAGTGAATGTACATTCTCCTACCAGTGTACATCTATCTAGGACAGAGTGAATGATACCACATTTAACCTCCTATAAAACACTAGGTGAGTGAGTATCCATCTCAATTCCCTGTGTCTTGCCATTTCTATCTTGCTGTAACCATGTCCTATTCCCCAGCCTTACTTCCCTCTCTTCTGGGATCTCTCGGGGCGCGAGTCTGGAGTCATGGTACCCCAACCACCTATCTGTCCACTGAACTTTATACATATCAGCAATCCATCACATCTATCGGGAAGCATCAAAACCGGGATACAGACGTACCCCGTTTACTTGATATTCCAGCAATGAAAATGACTAAGGTACCCCTCTACACAATGTCGACCAGGTATGGCGCAATCGGTGCTAGAATCGATGGGTTACGGTACCTCGGGCTACCGTCTGAGACGAGTTTAACGGTATATCCACAACTTATCGGTAAGCTATGCGTCTCCACTTAGAATGCCAGCTAATCGCTCTATATAGACAGCATCGAAGGTTACCTGGAAATTGACAAGCCATTACCCGGGCTCTGGGGTCACGGGTACTTCCTGATGACTGCCCTGGTTGAATTATGGTAAAATCCCGACTCAGCACAAAGGCGCAAGCACCTTAGACATAATCTCGGATAAAGACAGCAGGCCAACGCCTTGACGGGTCGTTTGTACCAGTTGAGGGTGTTTCTCGCGAAGACGAAGGAGACATGCTTAGGATATGCTCTCTTGGGAGGATGAGGACCTTACGATCACAGGCGACGCGGATTACTCTTTCTGGTACAATGGTCCAAAGCACAAATAAACCAAATGAGAACATGACAATAGCGTGGTTTATGGAAACGCCAAATAGAAAGCAGACCAATTGGATCGACAGTTTCTAAAGGAACATGCCTCGCTCGCCTACATCTGGTTCAACCTCAATTTTGAATTCAATGTCCTCTTTGCTAGAACGGGTCAGTTAGGTCCAAACATACCGGCACGAGGCTTATGACAGTGTCCCGCAGGTCCCCAAGCGGCCTTGTATTACCCCGGTAGATTTTCCAGAGGTCGATATCCACAGGCAGCATGGTCAAAGTAATGCCCGAGTGGGATCATAAGGACACTGCGTCTTTCGGGGGATGGTCAATGACAGGCTGGCCGCTATGCGGGTTAAGCGCAGGTAAGATCCTACTCATGCCGAAGATATTCTTGTTACTGACGCCTATAACAAAAGCGTTATGCGCAGCCAGCTCGCCAGAAGAACTGTGTTATGTATTCGCTCACCAAGACAGCCACAGTGGTTCTCCTTCACACTGTACATGAACTTACATCCACCACATCAAGAATAATGCTATCCCATATTCTCATCCTAGACACTGTCTGAAGAAAGCATACTTTGTCGATATTATGACCCCGGACGGACGGGTGGTAGACGGTCGGTGGTACCGTGACCCATCCCTGGTGATCGACCCGCTCCCAATTACAGATTCCATAACATCGGTCATTTCTTAACTTTCACATACTTCATCTACTCGCGACACTCTCTGCATTCGCAGCAAGACAAGCGCAATCGCCAACAGAGCCTCTCGACTTTGGTATATCGGACTGAATTCGAAGAGATGACGTTGAACAAGTCGAGTCCCCCGAGGTGTTCAAAAGACACGGCGGCAGAGCGCCGCGCTTCCTTCAATTCTGATATCTTCGTGAAACCCATTGAAGCAAGGACCCCTGGATGGAGTTTAGCGATTTGGGTGGCGTTGAACTAGGATATAAAAAGAGGATGGAGTACGTAATGTACAATAAGGACAAAGAGTTCGCACAGACTATCTCTAGAGCAATAACGTCATGTAAATCTAATCTATAAGCTTGGCTACACCATATTCCCTCATTCAACTGACCCGTCGGTGTCGAAATTACCTTCATAATGATCTGTCCTCTAAACCACTCTAGCGACGACTGCAGTCGTACTGTCCTGGAATGTATATCTCATGTCAGCCATAGACCGTATCCTGCCCATGATCAACAGACAACCTCGATTATCGCTTTTGATCGATCGGAATTCACATTTGAAAACTGACGGTATGATCTTCTTGGAAATTGCTTGACCAGTCAATTCATGTCCGACATTGGATATTTATTAAGGTTGGTACTGTCATCATGGTGGCTTCGCCGAGTACGGAGTAAATTGATTGAGAGACCATCGTCTCAGGAATGCTGAGGAAATGGATCTAATGGGGGTTTTCCGTGTAACCCGGTTCACTCCTGAGCAATTGTTGCGTCGCCATCGATTCGGCAATCGAGACAATCGAGACAATCGAGAGCCGAGATCGCCGTTCCATGATTGCGTCCCCATGAAGAAATCTAGACCAGGTCCAACAACTTGGGTGAAGCCTCGCCCAAATCTCTGGCAAGCCACGACGACTGCGATTTCATCACCACTGCACATTCCAAAAGAAAGTCTCTTTTCAAACCCACGGATAGTCCGTTTCTAGTCGGAATCAATCAGCCACACACCTGCATTCCACCTGTTCATCCCGCGAATTCTCAACTAAGGCTCCTCCGTTTCCAGCCTCGGGGTTAACGGATAATCGCCGGTCACGGTCACGGGGTTCCGCAGAAAGACAGGGAGAGATAGACTCGCAGTTCATGGCGTCTATCAACTATCATCTCAATTCCTCCGTTTCCGACTTGAACTGCAATTCTCTTATTTTCTCTCTAACATTTGCGTCTCCCTATTTCGAACACGTTAATCGCCAACGCCTCGGCTGACTACAATCGTCGAATCGATCGCATCGCGCCCCTATCCATCATATCCCACTGCCGACTTTCCCCCTCAGAACCGCAGACAGCTGTGGGATCGGCGCTCCGAGCCTCCCTTCTTTTCTCTACAAGCGAACAGCCCGTGGAAACTGGACCCCTTTCGCAATCAAAGCCGCAGGATGCGGTCATTGCCATCCCGCACTGCAATTCATCACGACCGTAACACTCGACGGGTGATGGGACAGGGTGGTGGCGATGCCTTTAAGCAAAGGTGCTAAAGCGCCCGCAAAGGAGTCAATCCACTTCGTCAATGCCCGTCCGACCTCGGAAAACGAGAAGCTGAGGATCCAGCGACTGGTGAGGGCACATGTGGGAAAATGGATTTCCGACCAAACCAAGGACCGCTCGTCGGCAGGAGAATCTTCGGACTCGAATTCGAATCGCGAGGAGTCCCGCGATCCGGCGTCGCAGAAGCTTGAAATCGATACTGAAGAAACGTTATTCCCTTCATCCTCCTCGCCCTCTGCCGGGTCGTCGTCGCGCGAGTCCCCCGAGTCTACCATCTCGCGCAGCCTGTCCCTCTCCATCCGGTCCGCTTCTTACGTCCCGCTTCCACCGATAGCTTCCTCTCACACCCACGAACCGTTGGAAGACGACGCGGAAGGCCATGGCGAGTACAACTCCTGTCAATTGGTGGTGGATTCTGCGAATCGAGAAACTACTTGTTCTCCGGGGAAAGAAAATGGCTCTCTCCGTGGCTACACCATCAAGGCCATGGGCAGTAACGTGTTCGATCCTTTTCACACCTACCCGTCGCATTATACTCCCGAAGCCGTCCATGCGTGTGAAAGATACTGTTAGTACCCCTTGATATATCCATGACTTCGGAATGCTGACGAGTTCCCAGGCATAGACGTTCTCTGGCCCACGTTGACTCCCCCAACTCCCGGAGACCGCGACGTCTCTGCCACGAAAAACTGGCTTCCCCTGTCATTGGCCGATCCTGTTCTGTTCACTGCCTTTTTGTTTGGTTCGCTGTCGCACCAACGTTGTCGATGGATCAACAGACAGATTCCGGACGGGGCATTTAGCGCTCGCGATCAGCGACTCCTACAGCAATGTGAATACGAAACCATCATGCTGGCCAACAAGGCTTTCAGTGATCCGGATCACAATCGGGTTCTTAGCGATTCTATCATACTTAGTGTCATTTGCATGGCTCACAACATCGCCGATGACAACGATCATCGACGGCATCGAAACATCCCATTCACACCGCCCTTGACGCAGCTACAATGGCTCGACGTGTACGCAAGCTTGCCACCAAATCCTGTCCACTTGCGGGGCTTGGTCGAGCTGATTAAATTACGGGGTGGCTTGAAAAATATCAAGCTGCCGGGTTTAGCCACTACCGTAGCTTTGTAGGCGCATCTCCGTTACAGTTCCTAGCTGAAACTTGAGCTAACTTGACAAATCAGTTCCGCGATCTTGACTGCGAGCTATCTGCTTTCGCAGCCTGCGTTTGAATACATACCGTTCCATGCGCCGCGACAAGGCCTCACATTACAAGAGTTACTAGGATACACCTCTCTTGACGTGGAGCTGGGGTTTGGTCGACTGCGTCAAATCGGCTTTACCCTAGAAATGGCGGACGTCTTCCAAGCTCTAAGAGTCTACACGAACATCGTCATCGAACACATCAACGTCTCCCATTCCAACCCCGACCTGTCCCTTCTCTGCGACCAGCGCAACCTCGTCCAGTACCACCTCCTCAACCTCCCCTCCGCCCGCCATCTCGCCACCTGGTTCCCCCACCCACACCATCAAACCATCTACGAATCCTGCCGTCTAGCAGCCCTCATCTACGCCGTCGGCGTCACCTTCCCCCTCCCATCCCAATGCTCGCCTCTCCCCCGTCTCGCAACCCTCCTCCAAGAAACCCTGCAGCAGACCCCGACGCAACCCCCTCTGGTCCCACCCGCAAGCCCAAGTCGCCCTCCTCTGGGCCCTAACCCTCGGCGGCATCGCGGCCGAGAACCGTCCCGAACGGGCCTGGTTCGTACAGACCCTCGCCCAAGCGGCGGCCAATAATGGGATCTACTCCTGGCCGGAGCTGAAGAGCGTACTGGAGTTCATGCTCTGGTATGATACTGCGTGTGACCGGGCGGGGTATACCCTCTGGCTGGAAGTGGTGGGATGTTTGTGATGAGATGTTAATTGTCTTGTTGGCGTTGTGTTTCGTCGGTGGCGTTCGCTTTCGGGCTTTCTTGAATTGGGATCGGTCTCCGGGTTATGTATGGAGTTGGATATGATTTACGATGGTCATGACATGACGTTTTGGCGCAGCTCAAGACAGACGGATGGATGGATGGGATGTACTCTATATGGACATAGTAATATACAGATACACAGCCAACACCAATATACACAAAAGCGTAACGTATCATCATCATCAGCAGCAGCAGAGCAGCAGTAGCAGCCAGTAAGGAAAGCAAAGAGCAAATATCCAAATATGCAAAAAAAGTGACAGGACGATGGATTATGGTCCGCTCGAAATCCCATACGACGAGGCCTCCCCATGTGCCCCCAAATGCTGCGGCCCACGACGCAGCAACGGTTCTCGCTCGCGTTCCCGCTCCCAGTCTCTCGCTGCTACGCCAGCGTAATCCACCGCATCTGACCGGGGCCGACTCACCTGCTCACTCTGTACCATGGTGCGCTCTGCCCTGCCGGGGTCGGCGTCCACGACCACGCCCTTCCCAGCTATACGCTGCGCCCGAGAGACATCCATCCGCTTAGCCTGCCACCAGACGAACCCCACCAGCGCGGCGCCAATCACGCCCGTCGAGGCCGTAAGCACGAGATTGACCGGGACGGGATCCCGGGCGAAAAGCTTAAATGTCACGGCGTCGAGGCCCGCCTGCAGGAAATTGCCTAGCCCCGCTAGACAGATGATCAGCCCGTAGACCTTGCCGAAGGTCTGGAAGCCGAAGACCTTGGCGGCGTAGTCGGAGACGGCGGTGTAGTAGAAGGGCCGGTAGATGACGAAGAGGGCGATGTTGGCGTAGCCGGCGGGGAGGCTGTGGGGGATGCAGCCGAGGATGCCGATGAGGGTGGCGGTGGAGGCGAGGATGAGGAGGACGTGTTGGGTTTTCAGCGTGTCGAGGATGGTGCCGATGAAGGGGACGGAGAGGAGGCCGCCGAGGGGGAGGAGGATGTCGAAGGCGCTGTTGAGCTGTTTGGAGAGGGTGGGGAGAGGAGGTAGTCGTATTGGGCGCGGATGGAGGCGACGAAGTAGTTTATGCGGAGCATCTGGAGGACCGTGAAGAGCATGATGAGGACGAACCAGGGGGTGGCGATCTGTTGGAGAGCGGAGCGGCCGTGGAGAGCGCCCCAGACGCTGCCAGCGGTGGTGTTGCGGGGTGGGGTTTTGCCGACGATGCGGTCTTGGGGTCGTTCTCCGGGGGAAGAGTAGTTCGAGAGAACTCGTCGAGACCCGGGACGTCATTGATGCTGCTGTCGCCTAGAAGATCTTGGATCTTGCTGACGACGTCTTGGCGGTGCACGCGGCGGTCGTTGCGCTGACGTTCGCCTTCGGAGCGATTGCTGATACGCTCGTCGACGTGGTCGTTGGCTTCATCGGCGATGTACGCTTCAGCTTGTTGGACTAGCTCGCCGGCCGTTTTGTAGGATGTGGCTGGCATGATGAGAAGTTGCGCAGCGAGGATGAAGGCGGGAACGATCAGATACACCATGAAGAACTTGTGGGTGGTAAATGACCCGTTACTGCGCTCGTTGGCGAGTCGGAAGACTAAAAACAAGGCGCTGGACGCATCGAATGCACCCGTGAGCATGGATAGGATCAACCCAGAGCGAGTGGGGAACGTGTTGGACAGCTGGAATGACGAAATGAAGATGAAGGGACCTCCGAGCGATAGGAAGAAGTATCCAGGAATGTAGGTATCAAAGGGGAGATTGGCAGCGAAGCTGAGCAGTAAGGCGCCGAAAGTGAGACATATGCTGCCAATGATACCACAGACGCGAGGACCGTATTTATCTAGGATAGTGCCAACTGGCAAGGCGGATACATTGGTCGCCACGGCGGCGATTGTGAACATGAGGTTCAGGCTGTGTCGCGTCAGCTGGGTCAAGAGACAGAGGTCATGGTGCGTACCGCAGCTCCTGTCCGTAGCAGACTTCCCGGTTCTTAGAGAGCTCGTCGCGCGAACACAGATTGCGATAGACCCCTTCCCGAATCAAGACAGGTTTCAGTGCCGCAAATCCGAACACAACACCTGCTGCGAGGAAGCAATAGATGACCGCAATAATTACCTGGCCTGAGTATCTCATTAATATTTCTCGGATCGTGAACAAAGTTAGTTCTTCGGCTTACAGATTCGTCTTGTACTACTGACTTCGAACGCTCCAGTAGTTTCCAACGGATAGTCTTCATCCGGCAATCTTAAGGACGCATCTCGTGGATCATATCCTCCATGGTCACTCTCGGCCAGCGGTTTCGGCTGGGTTTTTATCGTAGGAGTTTCAGGACCAGATGCGAGGTCTTCAGGGGCAACTTCGTCGGGGGCTGGGTCCAACCGGGCCCAGCATACGGATTGAAATTTAAGCGATAAGTGTACGTTGACTGGAAGGAGGACGAAATTGATCCCTCCGGAAGGTCGACATTGCGCCCGTCCACAGAGTCAGAATCGCCGTCCTCTTGGTCCTGATACTGTTGCTGACGCGATACAGGCCGAGTTTGGCCCCACGACTCAAGGTAAGAGACTCGATTTAGAGACATAGCTACACATTGCAGATGAGAAGCTGAACAGAAGCAGAGCTTAGGTTGGAGATGACATACCGTTTCCCCTCGATTAAATTGGCTGGTTGAATTTAATGCATCCCTGCAGAACTGTAACTTGATTGTTGCCGGTTTCAAAACTTGAAATGGGCGGGCTGCAGTGGAGATCTTAGTTAAATAGTTTGGAGAGCGAATCAAGGTGAGATTGAGGATAGAGTTCCAAGCGTTGCCGGCCGGGGAGAGAGGACTAGACTTATATTTATGTTGCTTCCAAGACTAAGGTGGCCTCTGAGGCTCTGACGATATATTAGACTGGATTATCGCGATGGATGACGATTACGAGTAGTACTTGGTGGCAGCTTCCGCAGTACAGGAAGAGCATAAGAGGGATCTAGTGATCTAGTGACGTCGGAGGTAAACAGCGCAGGGTCACCTGATTCCGCCCTCTGTTTCCCCCGCTACAACTGCATCGGCTTTCTACCATGGTTACCACAATATAATATATTAGTAACGTTCCTCTAGCTTATATCCTAATCAGATCCACTGAACCAGAAGACAGAAAACATCGCCCTGCCAGTCATTGAAATCTTGGTCCGAAGCCGGAAATCTCCTCAGTGGGTCGGTGGGCCCTCCCATCAGAAGATACGTATATCAGGTCCCTTATCGCACCCTCAGTGGAGCGGTGTTTTCCCGACCTTAGTCAGGTATACGGAGTAGACAACTATATTGAGGACAATTGCAAAGGATAATGTGTGCCATGAAAACCAAAGCCCACTGCTGCTGCACAATCAGCGCGTCCCACTTCCGTCATGTCATGCGCATTGAGGCACAAAAGGTAGCTTGTGCCTGTGTCACCGTTAAGAACAATGCTGAGCAGGTACCCGGCATCTTCAGCGGCATTCACACCGTCCGGCACAAAGACAGCTTCGCCAGGAGTATGGTGGTCATGGCTCCAGATTAGGACCTTTTGTGTTTCCAGATCAACTTTGGCGATGCCATCAAAAAAAGACGACTGGAAAGATCCGATGCTTAGCTCTCAATGATACCTCATAGTCCATCAAGGAATGGAGTAGCTTACCTTTCCCTGGTTGACGACGTTGTACACATATCGCGTCTTCTTGCTGGCAAAACAATGGTTGATGGTGGGCAGGTCTCCAACGCCTTCGCCTTCAATTTTCAGCAGTATGTCTGCTCGTGGTATATTTGCATCGTTGGTAGGCAACTCGACCCGGGAGTCCCTGGGCACGCTGGGCAGGCGATAGCGGACCAAACTGGGACGTGATGCTTCACTACCAAAGTATTTCTCAACGTCACTACCGGTGGAGACCATCGATTCATAGTATCCTCGCCGTATCATTTCATCGGTCGGATATTGAATGATATCACACATGATATCCACCGTTCCGTCGCCGTTGTCGGTCTGCCATGCATTGATGGTATGGAAGCTGAAAAAGGCTGGGCTCAAAAACGTGGCCACCACCCCTTTGTTTCGTTTTCGGTCCACGACACACCAGCGCGTCTGAATGTTGGAGTCGAATCGCATAGCATCCACCATGTTTCTCTCCCACAGGATCTTGACGCCAGCTGCCGCAAAGATACAGGGCCAGATGCACAGAATCACATAGTCGGGGCTGAGAAAGAAGGAGTGGAGGTAAGCCGGTTTGACGGTTGGCCCGAAATAGTTGCAAGGATATCCGTCTGGCCGGTGGCAGCCGAAGTTCGGAAAATTCTGTATGTTGCGTACCTACCCAGGTCGAGGTTATAGTTGAACAAATCCCCAGTGGTAGGGTCGAGGGCGGCATGAGCACACGAAAGGGGACCTCGCAACTCAGGGTGCAGAGCGTCCTGGCGAGTGACCCCTATCGGCTCCAGGGTCTCAGGGTCGACCTGTTAAATTTAGAACGCCCGTTCCATCAGTAGATTGATTATACTTTGCGAATATGGTGGTTTTACATGTTTGAGTATGTTGGCATCTGTCATGGTGGTCAGACCGTGGAACTGCCGCACCCCTGCCGATGGATCGGAGCTCTTAAGATGAGGCGGTACGCCAGGGATCTAGCTTGTTAGTACCAGACTGCGTTATCTCAAATGTGACTGTAATAGAGCCTTTGGTGGGTAGAAGATGAGACGGATCCCGAAGTTCCCCAAACGTACATTTGCATGGACGGTGACCCCGGCATTGACAAGCCCCGGGTCTTTGGTATTGAACGAGGGACGAAAGAAACTTTTGACCTTCTGGAAAATGCTCGCACATGGATCTCGTTTCTGGCCAAAGGTGATACCCTCGAGAGTCCCTGACTTGCGTGCCTCTTCGACCAGTCTATCAACTTGCCGTCGCGAGCTATACAACACCCTGCAGGTACCAGTAGGCTGCTCCACCAGCTGAAAGCGATGAAGATGAGTGAACCCATCAAACCAATGACTGAGCTGGTACTTGCTCCCTGCCACTTTATAGGTTCCGGGCCTACTCGGTAGAGTGTTCCCGCGACCTGCCAAGGGATTGAACCGGTGACTGGTAATTCAACAGGTTCGCGACACTCGGCAGTGGCCTCGAACTGTGCAACGAAGCAGGTTCAGCTTTCAGACTGAATACCATCACGGGTCGAACATACGCCTGCATCATTAGGCCAATCCATGAAAGGAGACCGGTGAACACGGTCGGAAGCCATAGTGAACGCCAAGATAACGAATCCAAAAAGGATTATGGCGAAGACAAGGCGATTTTCAGGTACGTTACCAGGAGAGCAGGAATGGCCTGCAAGCGACAGTCGAGGACCGTCTTATCTGATCTTGCCACGATTCCACAAGTATAGTTTGCTCCAAGACCATGGTGGGTAGGTCGAGCAGACAGACATGGGACAGAAACGGCCGTAAACACAACGATGCAAGACGGCTCCGGAGGTGTTCAAATTGGCCTTATGCATCGGCCAATTTTTGAAATTAGTTATGCCTAGCCTTCTTCCGCCGGCGACTTTTATGCGGTGCTATTCGTTATGCTGGTAGTTAGAGCGCTGCTAATCCTTCAGCCTAGATAGGATAGTTACTAGTTATACTGCTCAGGAGCATAGATGGGGCTGATGGCAAATTCGTCAGTTAACTCAACTCAGTCGAGTTCCGTTACTGCAACGAGAATGTCGTTCAATAGAGAGGAAGCGAAATGCCCTTCTCATCTCACGAACCGGATCTCCCACGGCGAGGTCACAGGGAACTTTCGCCAATGGAGGACGGCAATTGCAGTCACTGCCGCGATTCTTTTCACTGGTAGTGGACTGATTCCAGTGTTATTGTACTTCCTTCTCAGATATGTCGCTCGGCTGGAGCTATGGATAGGTAGATATGATGAAGCCCTTCCACCTGAGTCATGGTTGCTTCTGGGCATGAGATACTGGAAGAATCACTTCAGCTCACTGTAGTTGCTGACAGAACTAAATCCGCCATAGTCTTTGCAATCATAGCTTCCATCCTAGGCGCGGGGAGTGTACTGGCGTTGGTGCGCCGGACCTGGCGGCTTGTCCGGCCCAACTCGACATGTCGTCCATCACGAACAGCGCGATATCAGGTGAGTACCTGTCTTCTTCTCCCCTGCCTATTACAAGTGGCTGTTGACAGATGAAAATGCCTGCAGCTCGACTACTTCCAATGGAACTTTCTGTTCGGTTTCGTCTACATCGCCGCGTTGCTGGCTGTAGCCGTGGCCATTGCCCACACCCTGGATAACACTGCGGTCCTTCTTGTCAGTCTTCCTCTACCGCTATTGGCTTTTCAGATTAGCAGTCAATTGGTATTAGGCTCAATGCTGGTCTGGCTGCGCGCCAAATATCCGTTTCGCGTTTCGTCGATGGCAAAAGGCGCCTTGGTTCGACCAGGGGTGTACACAATTATTGAAGACGTGGTCGCGGTTGATGGAGGACAGGGGGTGCATTTCCGCCAGCTTCTGGATGCTCGCTATGATTCGAGCAAAGCGCTCCAGGCCCTTCTACAACGGATGGGCTGGGCCTGGGGCCTGTCCGGGCTGGGAGTGTCCATCTTGCTCCTCGCCCTGATTGGAAGCCTGACGAATAAGGAAATATCATTCGTCCTCGGTGCGTTTCTCACAATCGCCCCTTCATGAGAAAAGTCTGCGGTGTCGGGACCAGTATTCTAACTCAAGGTTCTAGGCTGGAGCGTACCATGGGTATGGGTGACCGTTCTTACTCTGCTCACATACTTCATTGTCAGAACAGCCCAGACCTCTGAGGAGGTCACTGCTATTGCTTAGCAAAGGACTCTGTTTTCCTCATTTCTGGGGGTGCGGGGGATCTCCCTGTCCTGTTGGTGAAGTCTAAAGAGCGTTGATTGGCTCTTTCTCAAGGGAGATCGTTCAAAGTGTTGGATCATATGACATGGGGGACCGTAAACTCGCTATGCATTCCTTTCGCGGTATGAATTGTATAACCCAATTTACAAGATTTTTCTGCTCGATCCGAGAGACATTCCTGCTTGTTTGGCACTCTAGACAGCTAGAGATATGCATCGCATCATTTGATCTGGTTATTGCGGGTCCAGAAATGGTGTGATGGTATCGCGCAACTTCCACCTTGGTGTTGACTCTAGGCGGAAAAGCTTGACTAGGATATGGATGGATGGTGTGCGCTAACGAGAGGGGCTCTCCATACGGGTATTCCCGCCATTAAAACCCCCTGTGCGTCGTATGCGGAGTACTTTGGCGTCACATCTGACCTGTATAAGACCCTGGACTGCGCTCAGATTGGAATCGCAGTGTGATTGGGCGACTAGCAAGGCTCTGCGCCTCGTGGCGCGGCTTTTCCATCAGTCCATATTGCACGGCCAATCCTATGGCCTGGCGAGATCACACCGTTACATCGTGCCCTTGGCTCTAATAATGAGCACTATCCAGCGAGGCTTGTGGAGTTCATAAATGGTGCATACAGCAGGCTAAGAAGGTGAGCTGTTTGTGTTCTGAACATGTGAGAAGCGGACTCGAGACGGATACTGATATGCCAGACTTCCAAAGCCAGAGCCTGATGCGATATATGACTGCCTAATGGCTGAGATTATCGAAAATGGGACACTCGCCATTGCGGCGGCTCGATGACGCGGGGTGCTTGGACAAAAGCGAGGGGTAGTAACTGCCCAATGCAAGCGAAGCAAGGTCGTTGGCACATGGGCGAGTTAGTTGTACTTGTTCTCTTCCGAATCGAACCCCTTCCCCTGCATAGTTCGCGAGTTGCCCTGTCCACGCGGCACGAATCAAAGTCATGGATGCGAAACGGCGAGACCCCATTCAAATCAAGCATGTGCAAGCAATGCCCAGCCAATTGGCTCATGCAATGCCTTCGGACACTTCGCAATGTGCTCATCCTTTGTTAGCGGTGGCTATCGCTCAGAAGTCACATTTCCCTAGTGTTCGGCTGTAAGATCCGTGTCGTCCAGGAATTGATAGAGGAGCAGTTGGATTAATTCCCGCCAGACTGGTTCTAGCGGAGACAAATGCAATACTCAAATTGGCCTACCCAAATAGCACCGAAGATGTTGCCGGACAGCCGCGATCCCCTGAGGTCCCCAGCGCTTGCGCTCGCAGAGCGCAGGACTTGGATCTTGCGGGGGAAGAAAAAGGGAAAAGGGTGTCAAGTGCGCTCTATTATGGTGCATTGTCGCGCCCGGAGAAGGTCTGTCTTTCGGGAATCCTCCAAAGCAAACCTTTATCCATTTCCATAATTCGTTCCCTTGAAGAATTCCATGATTCAATCTAAGTTTCCGATCACCAGTGATCATCCTATAATAGTCCTTGAACAAAACGTAAGCCGAAGGTTAAGGTGATCCACTTTCTGTGGGCCTTTCACGATCTAACCGTTCGCAATGCAGAACTTGGCTACAGAATAACAAGTCGAGCAGCAGGAAAAGAGGAGCGAAAGGCTGGAATAATAGGGATGACAGACCTCAGCTCCGCTTCCGGGTCATCATCCTCCTCCAACTCCGTCTCGTCCAGCTCCTCCCGTCTTATTGAACCTCAGTTTCGTTTGGCCTGTGAGGAATGCCATGTCCGCAAGATTCGTTGTGAGCCGTCGCTCACCGGTTCTGGGAGCAGTTGCGAGGCATGCCGGGTCAATCAGCGGCGCTGTCTCTTTTCCCTCCGGAGCAAGATCGGACGACCACGTAAACAGGCGTCATCCACCAATACCAAGACCGCGGTGCACAATACCACTGGTATGCCTGTTTCTAGTGGGTGTCCACCGAGTATGACAGTCCTGCAGATGCTGGCGCAATCGGACGGCATGCGAAAGGAGCTGAACGGTTCACAGTCGCCAAAAGACTGGTCACAGAGCCAGTCAAATGCCCGTCGGCGTGTCCCAGTGGAAACAAATCAATGGGGAAATACGGCATGGCACCCGATTTCAGATAACCTCACAATGGATCCGGTCGGGGATGTATCTGCAGTGTACAACTTCGAAGAAACCGGGGGATTTGGCATTGAGAGTGAGCGCTTTGGGCAGTTGATGACACACAATTCTGTTGGTGCTCAGATGGAACTCTTCTCACCAGGTTTCGCACACGCTACAGAGTCACTTCAGATGGATGCGTTCATGACGGAGAACTGGTATGTCGCAGGCGGCGTCATTGAAAGTTCCGAAACCGACGGCGAGCAAGACTTCAACAACGCTCTGAAGCTCTATGGAGAACTCCACAATCGCTGCAAGGCTACATCTCTCAATATACTCGCTGAGAGTGACCAAGATGAGCTCTCTTCAGTTTTTCAGATTTTGGACAAGCTCAACCAAACAATTTCCGTGCTTCAACACAATCCATCCTCACAGGTGCAGCGAACAGAGCAATCCAAGTGGAGAATCGTCCGGGTAGCGGTGATGGAGGCGGTTGAAATGTGTATCGGGGTCATTGAATTCAACTTTCGGCTCCACAAGAACCTTGGGACCGCAGATGATGGGCGATGCTCCGCAGAGGAATCCTCCCCAACCAGCTCTAGCTCAGGCAATCTGGCGGGATGCAATGGTCTCACCCCCAAGAACGAGCACCGTCTTGGAGTTCAGCTGAGGGCCCTTGAGCTCCTCATTCGTCTGGACCACTCGCTCGTCCGATTCAGGCTTTTCATGGCCAAGCTGGATTGTTCTCATGGTAGTGATCATTACCACGACTCATCGCCAATCTCGGGGAACAAGTCCCGCACACCCTGCAGATGTTGGATCACATCCATACCGGAAATTGGAACTGTTCGGTCCCAGATTTCAGAGTTATCCGACAGATTGCGAGGTCTGTGGGACTAGTCTGATGGAGTTCACTGAAGTTTTAAACTTGGTTTCTTGGAATGCATTTAGCAGCCGTCTGCAATTGATCAATGTCAAGTCCCTGCTCAGAGTTGTTGACACTGCAAGAGTATTTTCTCAAGTAGAGCGAGTACCTAGTAATCCCACAAACAGATTTCTGAGATACCTCATAGAGACATCACGTGATCCACGGCCGCTGTGGCCGCCAAAGTTTCGTTGGAAACAGAAGAAGTTCAGAACAATTGCATCAAGCTTCTAGCATCCAAGCATCTAAGCATACAAGATTGGACTGCGTATATCGGTGATTATTGATTTGTGTTACTCTGATCTCTACCTATTTTTTGAATTTTTTGCTGTTAGAGTAAGGTACTCCAATACATTGTTCACGATTTAGACGCAATGGCAACAAGCCTCGCTTCCCTCATTTGGTCTCTGCAGGCTCTTCATTGTCCTGCATTTCTTGCTTCAACCTGTCTGGCAATAAGTTGCTTTCTTGGACGATTTTCATGGCTAGACCAGAGAGAGGGACTGGACTGAGAATGTCAAAGACGGAGATCTCGGTGTGGAACTCTTTTGCTATCCATGCTCGCATTTCAACGGCGATCAAGGAGTCCACTGTTAGACGGTCAGTATAAGCCTACCATGAATAACGGGTTTGCATTTGGGAACAAAAAGAAAAGAGGAAAGAGAAGTGGGAAATAAGAAGCCACAAACGGGACTCACCTCCATAAGAATGCAGTGGCTGAGTGTTACTGATATCCTCTACAGGTATCATCAGCACTTTGGCAATCCGCGAAATGATGATGTCTTCAACAATCGCGGCAGCCGCTACCAATGACTCTGCCTTAGTGAAGGCGTCCAACCCCGCCAGAACTCCAGCATCGGCGCCAGATTCGCTTGTTTTCCATAGAATCGAGAATTTGACATCTCGAGCCCAACGTGTACGCTGCACGATTTCCTCCATCTCGTCACCAGCGACCAGACCGGTCACCACTTGCGCCGGTATGTTATCGTTTTTAAGCTTGCGACGCCGTGATGATGATCTCAAGAAGGCTATGGATATCCGCTTCGCTCACCTGCAGTGCTTGCAAATGGCTCATGTTTGCGGCGTCTCCGGACTCAGCTAGATAGCCGATGTCTCGGACAGCACCAAGGTCCAAGGCTGTTGCCTCCAACCCTTGTCGGCGCCGGAAGTGCGCAAGAGCATCTTCATAGACGTTCCCAGCCGAGTAGTTCGCTTGTCCAGGGTTCCCGATAACGCCTGAGATAGACGAGAGCATGACGAAGAAGTCGAGGTCCCTCGGCAGGGCCTCGTGAAGATTCCAAGATCCCTGAATTTTGGCCCTGGTGCAGACGGTCCAGTCGTCATAGGTCATATTTTCAAACAATCCGTCCTATTCATCGTCAGACTTTAATGGGTTACCAGCAAGGACGGAAATGGCTCTCACTTACCTTCAGTACCATAGAACATTGAACAAAGCCCTTGATGGGCGGTAGCTCAGTGCTGCATTGTCGAACTGCTTGAAAGACCGCTTCCCGGTCGGAGATGTCACAAGAGTATGCCTTGGCAGTGCAACCGTAACGGCTGAGCTGCTTGAGAAACCCTTGTGCCTCCGGCTTTGAATCACCAGATCTGGAGAGAAACGCTAGGTACCTGGCGCCGTGAGACTGGAGCATGTCCGCAATGCTTCTGCCAATCCCTCCGAGGCCACCGGCCAACAAATATGTTGCGTTGGCATCCAGGGTAAAGGGAGGGTTAGCCGGAGGCAGGACCGGAACTATATCATCTGGGCTGGCTCGGACAACAATCTTCCCAGACACCTTCCCAGATTGTAGCCCTCGGAAAGCCTGCTCTACCTCAGAGTAAGTGTAGATCGTTATGGGGTACAACTCTCTGAATTTCCTGGCGCTGAGGAGATTGAAAATGTTCTGGAGAGCCTCTGACAATTCCATGTGCACTTCACTGGTGGGGTGGAATTGCTCGAGATTAACACCAATGTAACTAACACCACGAAGGAAGGGCTGCATATCGAGACCTGTGTTTCCCAGGAGATCTCGTTTGCCA